ACAGGCGAGCCACAAAAATGTCAAGTGACTTACAAGGTGTCATTATCATATTCACAAAAAGAAAAGGAATTTCTTTCTTAAAAGCGATTTCAAGTCCATATTTATTTGTACTTATATTTCTAAGTCAGGGATTTAAATCGGGTTAAAGTTGATGATCTACCCATAAATCGTAATCAAAATTTTACCCCATATTTAAGCAATCATTTTCATGACTTATAAGTGGATTTTTTGTTCAAGTATCTCAAATTATCCCTACAAATTCCCAACGAATATTTTGTCTTGGATGTAAGAGGCGATAATCGGGCTGCGGATGATAAATGTATGTGCTCGCTTGTAGATTTTGTATGCATGCTTTGCTTTACATATCTGGGCATTAATATAAGCACACTCGAACACATATCTTGGGGCGGCCATTTAGCAGTATTTAAAATTTATGACCTGACTATTAAGTGCGTATTAACTGAATGCTTTGTGCATGCCATAAACTTGGGCCTTCGCCGAATAATGCCAAACCAGAGGGAGTGGCATTTCGTATGACAAAGAGCCTAAAGGGCAACTTTTTCCGCTTTTGTAAAAATTGTTACCACTCTCGTACAGTCACTCATTTCCTTCCCCTGTGTGTCTGTGTTTGTGTGAGTGGCAAAAAAGTTGCCGCAAAAGTTGCAAAAAAGTTGGTAGCAAAAGAAAAAAAATGCGGAGTGAAACTTGCCTCCTTTGTTACTACCTGTACGGGCAATTGAGGGATTTTTTCGCAATGAATGAGTGCCGCGGGTTTTGGAGGATGCAACTGGAGCGGAATTGCATTAGCTAATCAAACGCAGTCCTGTCCACTTGTCAACCTGGCAAGGGTAAAAGGACGCTTGAATGAGCCGGGTGTCGCTTTGCTGCTTTGCTAATTACTCCCCTGAATCCTTTTAATGCGATTACGGGGCTGTTTTTGCTTTTCCCCCTCACTTTGGAGTGCAGTGCGGTCAGCCCGGCGTAATGAACCGCACATTAGGGCTACCTCCTGTCGGCAATCGGCCATCGGCAATCGACGGTCGACAGTCGATAGACGACGGCTATCGGAAGTCCCTTCTGACTTACTGGCCTTTCTTTCGAACGCGTTTAAAGTGCACCATACATTTCCCACAGCCATCCTATAGCAGGACTCCTTTGCTCTACAGAGAAAACAATTTTTATAAGTTATTAAAACATTTAATTATAAATCTGAAGCACTTGGAGGATAAATTTAAAAGTTAAAACAATCTTAGATTTTTTTAAATTATTAAAAGTCTTTTTATTTTATGTTTAAATATTAGTTTATTAGTACAATAATTTTAAAATATGATAATTGCAATATCTAAACAGTAAAATTTATTTAAATTGATATTTAAATTTAAATAGTTCTGTTATATATCTTTAAAGTCCATATTTTATGAACAATTTTGGCTAATTTGTAAAATTTTTTCTCAGTCTTTTCTTTAGCCTGGAGTAGCATGGTGACTGCAGCTCTGTCCGCTTGCAGTTCAATTGAATTTCAGTAGGAAACTTGTGCAACGTCCTTCCAACCCGCGCCACCCCCTTTTCAGCCCATCTTTATACCCGCCCACACACATATTTACCTCAGGCCGTCGGGTATTCATTTATTTTATTTGGTGCAAAAGTTTTCACCCAGCCCCCGTTTTTTAGCCGTGGCCCGTGGCTTGTTGTGCCGCTTCATCGATTGCGTTTGGTAATTTGCTTTATGTTCGTTTGCTTTGGCCCTTTTACTTAAAATAAATTAGAAATTATTGGAGCATTTGGAAGCTTCAGCTTGGGGCGGCCGGGAGTTTTCGATTGATTTCGAATTTCGGTCATAAATATATAATCGGCTTGCAAGCGATTGGTTGGCAAGTGAAACTTGCATCATAAATAACCTACAAGCGATATTGTGTTAAAAATTCGTAGCACTTTGAAACACGGAAATAGTTTTGAGTATCAAACCCAAACGAACAAAATAAGCCCTCATTGTATTTAATTATAGAATTTTCAAATGGTAAAACAAACTAATAAACCTTCAGCTCTTCCAAATTTAGTTTTTTACAGAAGTTATAAAAAAGAAATCATATGAAATCAAATCGAGAGTAACTAAGAACCCCTAGAAATATTTATATTCCAGCGAACAAAAATGAAAACTTTCCAAGTGAAAGTATCTTGTTGCAAATCGAATAGTTTTATTTTATTTTATCATGGTTTACTTGAAGTTTTCTCTTCTCACTAGTTGATTAAAATTTATTCAGTTAGTTTTGAGTTACTTTAAGGATACCAACGAAGTTCAATTAAATTTGCGAGAAGTTGTTCAACTTTTTTGCAGCGCAATTAAGCAGAAGCAGGAACATCCACAAGTGCAAGCTGGTATTGTTTTTAGCAGAATTGGAGCAGAAATTACTACACGCTTATGACTGGTCCTTCTGATGGTGATGCAGATGTGTGCGGAGTATCTGTGTGGCGTATCTGTGTGCAATCAATAGCCATTGTTGAGCTTGTGTTGCTAACTGGCATCATGAATGTCGTCAGTTGCCGGACCGAAATTGCACACCCATTCGGATGGTCAAAATTGGCGAATTCAAAATCAGAGTGCATGCGATAGACCAATTTGTATTTGCGTAATTAAGAGGACGGCCACGCCCCCTGCCCACTGCCCGCTGCCCATCTAATTGCCACCGATGTCTGCGATCCTAATTAAAACAATATACACTTTGGTCGACGTTGGGAAATTCGAATTTCGGGCAGTGCCCGCCAATGATTCCAATCGGGGCAATTTAAGCGCATCTTATTAAGCGACAACTCCTAAGCTCCTAAGGCTCCATCCCCACCTCCTAAAACCCCTTTCCCAACCCCCGACATCTTTGTAAAGTTTTGTGAAAAACTTTTCCCCACTTTTATGCTCTTTTATGGATGCCCACTGAGGCATTTGTGCCATTGCGACCGCAATAACAGTGAAAAAATAGGAGTAGTTAGCTTAATTTCTTTGCTCGAGTAGTTTTTCTTGTCGTAGAGAAGTAAAAAAAAGGAGGAAAACTAAAACTGAAAATGAGACTGGGTAAACACACCGCAATGAGTTTGATAATAGTTTCAAGTTATTAACATTCATTTTTTCCTCTTTTTCACTTCGCTTTCCCAACTTCCCCCACGCACAAAATCGTTTCTATCAGCGAAAATGTTCACCAAAGTTTTGAAATAAATTATTTTTGTGATAATGGCTGCATTAATGAGGCTCAGAGCTAATTAGAGCCCCACCGCCATAGCTTGAAATAATATCTTCTGTGCACTCTGGCATATGATAATTATACTTCAGGCTAATCAACCTGACTTTCGATTTTCGAGTGTGTCGCCAAAAGCTTTTTTGGAAAGGATTTTTGTGGTTGCAAAGTTGGGTTGCAGCAAAAACCCGAGGACTCTAAGCTTTCAAATAGGTTCTACAGGGTTGGAAAATACGTTTTAAGCAAAAAAGCTTCTGGTCCCAGTAACTTAAGGAACAAATTGTACAGAAAGGATTTTACACGAATAAACTTTTTTACAAAATATATGTACAACTTTAAAAGCTTTTTAGAATCTGTTTTAAGACCCTAGTTTATGTTAAATATTTTCAAAGCTTTTTAGTACGAATTGAGATGTAATTTTAATGGTTTTAGTATAAATTTTACATTTTTGAATGTAGAATCCTGTTGAAATGTAGACACTTAAACAATAATAAACATATGCACTCAAAAAAATTAAGTTATTGTTCATTAGGAATTTAAATTATTTTATTATTACCGCATAATATTTAAATAAACTTCAAGCCTTTGTAATATTAATTAATTTTATCAGATGAAAGGCTCAGTAACTGCAAATTTAAGTCATAACCCATTTCTGGGTAAATATGGTTCGCAAGTTAATGCGCTTATCTCAGCCCGAAACACCAGGTGAAGTTAGTCATAGAGATACCCAAAAAGAGGGACTTTAATACCCCAATTGACATGCGAGCTTGACACACAATAAACTTGGCAATCAGGTTACCGGATTATGGTAGAGCAACGATACCAATCGACCAATTGAATTAAGCGCATTAAAGCAGTGCCAGTCATGTCAACGGAGAAAAAATCAGACAGTCATCCGCCGGAGTCGAAAAATAAAATCTTGGGGAGTAAGTGAAAAAACCAACTCAATTCCAACCATAGAGACACCACCTTGAGTTTAATTTGTCACATCAAGTTTATTGTTTATTGAAATATCGAATATCCTTTTATCCTTTAGATGTATAACTACACATATAGTACATACAAGTATATAGTCTCGATAACATTAAGTTAAAACATTTAAAAACGTTTATTAGATTCTCAATTGAATAATTCGGCTTAGACTATGGCTAAAACATGTATCCATCTAAACACATATAAAACTTATACACTTATTATCATAGGATGCTTACATCAAAGATAGAATGAAGCTCAAGTCTTTATAGTTTTTTGGGGAGCAAATGTACACATACCATATATATACTATATACACTCATGATATATGCGGGATGTCGGAAATTTACACAGTTTACAGTTGATTATTTCTTTTTAGCCAACTAACCAACACGGAATCAAGACTGAGAATTGAGCTACCGGTTTCCTCATCTCGCTTGGAATCACAAATTACTTTTTGGCCAAATGCCCGAGAGCTCACTTTTGAAGTGGAGCTCTGTCCATTCGATATATGTAGCACACGATTGTCGATTATCTTAGGTAATAATCTAGGTTATCTCACATCTCAGTGACTAGAATGAATTTACAGCTTAAATGTCTACAAATCTGTTGAATCCCCGCTTTGAAGTTCCTGTCATTGAGCTTGCCTAACTATGCTTAAATTCCAGATCTTAACTTAATGGAGAGCTCCCTTTTAGCCAAGTTTTTTTTTGTCTCGAGAACCTGTTAAAGATTCAAAAGCCATATTTATATTTATTGTAGAATACAGCTTTTGGATCTCAAAGAATGGTTATTTTTTGTCACTCCTATGTCCCACAAAACTTCAGGCTGATTTAACTTAACTAACATTTCACCCATTTTTGTAAGTGTCAATGATATTGTGATATTCCGTTGCTAAGCAAGATATACTCGTAATCGGAGGTCTCTAAGCTTTGTACTTCCGCTGAAATATGTTTTCTATATATTCTGAGTGGGTATATCTTTAGCTTATTTTTTAGGAAAATACTCGATTTCCTTATAAAAATAATTTCCCCGGCTTGTTAGATATTCTCTGATATGCTTTTGCAATATGTGTAGGTATTCTCGATAAATCTAGGGGCCAAACAGATGAACAACCAAACTCGTATGTGTGTGTTTTTGTGTTTGTATCTTAGAGATATTAAATGTACAAGCGTCTTTGTGTTTCAGTATTAATTAGGACATAAATCACGCACGGCGGTTTGCATGTAAATGACTCCCATTGGCTTACTTGCCACTGGGATCTCTGAGGGAGCGAGTGGAGGGCAGACCGCGCAGACCCTTCTCCAGTTTATCGGCATCGCCCGCCGAAAAGCGGAAATTCATGGCCTGCCCTTGGCCCTGATTCTGGTTCACGCCCAGCAGGATGGGCCTCGAGTTTCTCCGCGGTCCCAGCAGCTCCACACTCTCCTCCTCATCGTAGCTCACCCCGGCCACGGGAAGCGGTGTTTTGGCCGGAGGTGAGTACTCGGCGGTAGCTTCCGATAGCCTTCGATACTCGCCGCTCCTCGAGTGCTGCAGCTTCCAGGAGGCCCGCCGCGTGGTCGCCACACTGGCCACACTCTGGCTGCTATTGCTGCAGTGCACCGAGGCATTCGTGGTGGTCAGATTGCCGGTGCTCTGCGATACCAGGCAGCTATTCGAGCTGGAACTGCTTGACGACAGGCTGGAGTTGCTGCCACTCGTGCTCTTTCGTATGCTCCTCTTGGATGATCGAACTTCCTGAAGAGAAGGCGGTTGTGGAGGAGGAGTTCCCTCTGGGAGCATGGAAACCTGCGGCTGCTCCTCCGGACTCAGCAGAGCATCCGTGCTCTTGCAGCAGCTATGATGACTGGCCGAGTGCTTCATTGTCCAGCGGAAATCATTGGAGTTCTCGTCATCCAGAGGCGGGTAAATGCGACCAGCGGTTGGAGCTGCCGATGTGGTGATTAATCTCTCCTTGGAACTGGCCAAATTGGGATCCGCCGGCGAGACACACTCGTCTATCGTATTCAGAGGAGATATCTGCAGGGTTTGCTTCTGTTGCAGCAGATCCATTTCATTTTTGATGGCCGGTTCAATGCCCAGAAGACCCAAAACCAGGCGAGGATTGGCCAGCACAAAACGCTCGAAGGTGGGAAAATCGATGCGATAGAAATCCGTTTGACAGCTTCTACTGGTCATAACCTTCTTGGGTTCCACGGGCGAAGGTGAAGGTGCCTTTGAGCTGCCGGCGTTGCTAGTGGGCAGCTGAACATCCCTGCCCCAAACCTCGGGAGGATGGGATGAACTACGTTGCATTGCTGCCACTTCTGCGGCTCCCAAAACTCCACCCATCAAGCCGTGATCCACTGCATCGCCAGATCTGGTGGCCGCCACTCCACTGATATTGGGTATGGACCTTGCCGGTGGAAACTTCAACGAGCTGTGCGAAGTCATGGCATTCGAGGTGAATGTCATTTCCTGCAGGGCGCTGATGGCATTGCGAACCTCGGCGCTCAGTTGGGCCACATCCTGATGCAAGGTGGAAACCTGGGAGTCCAGACGCTCCAACGAGGGTCTCTTTACGGCCGACTGTTGCTCCTCCTCCAGGGGATCAGCCTCCTCGAAGGATCCACGATCCAGGCTACAAGCTGCATTCAGGGTTCTGTGCCTCTTGTTCGTCTCCCTCAGAGTTATCAGGGATCTTCCCCGCTGATGCAACCTCTGATTCCTGGGACTTCCCATGCCCAAAAGGGGCGACCGTGCTGCATGCAGCGGGGAATTGCTCAAATTGTGCAGCGGAGAAGCTCCGCCAGGTGGCGCTCCTCCGCCATTTTCCTTCTCCCCCTTTCCCCCATTTTCCTCGGCCTCCTCGCGATTTTCGTCATCCTCACTGATGCTGGGCAGTGGAAATGAGGGTCCAATATCCGAGTCCTGGTTCTCGTAGCCCTCCCTCAGATTGCAGGTGAGATCGTGCTGAATGTCGTTGGCGAACTGCTGCTGGTACTCCGGATAGAGACGAAGGACCTCCACCAGACCGCCCATGTGGATGCACTTGAGATCGCAGTAGGTGAGCGCCTGAAAAGTAAATGGAGTGAAAATATGAAAAAACATGTAAGTTAAATGAAAAGTCGTGGAAAGTGAGGCAAAGGTCGTTTTTGGCGTTAAACGATTATGCACTCTGGACGGAAGGGGGCGTGGCAGCTGGTGTTTACGCCCATGAACAACATGAAAAAGCTGAAAAAGCATGTAAGCATTCTTAGGGTAGGTAGAGGGTTTGATGAACAATAATGACTTTATATTCTGATTCCCCTTATTAATTAATTAATCAAAAATTATAAATTTTTTAAATTCTTCTTAGAAGTCACCATTTAAACGAATTAAAAATAAATTACTAAAGGCGCAGTTTAATCTATTTTTATGAGAAAATGCCTAAAATTTTAATAATTGGAAAAAATTATAAAAAATCGTAAACCGAATGTAACCGAAACTGACCAAACTAATAAAACTATTTTTAATTTAAGTTTTTAAACTGAAAACTGATTAATACATCTATAAATTCATTTCCTGCTATATAAGATAACAAACTTGGTAAATAATTAAAATACATTTTTAATAATATTTTGAGCTAAGAGAATTCCCTTTCTTATAGGGTAGTTCGTGGTCCGATTTCGGTTGCCCAAGATAGCTCACTTGGTAATGTTGACGCCTCGGCGTCTTCTTTACATACTCGAGTGCGCCATCTTGGCGTTTGCACACTGCCTCTCACCCACGACGGCAAACACAAACACGCCGAGAGGGGAACGCCTTAAGTATCACTCATACGACCCGTTCGCCGTGTTGTTTGCCAAAGTGGCGCTACAAGGAGGAAAACGCGCGGCGACAGCTGCTCGCAATGTCTGCACTTTATTCCGCCAAGGCAGACATGCAAATAAACACGGGATAAAAGCAAAAGGTAAGGGCAAACACACAGGATCAAACATCAACAAAGGCAAAAAACAAAAGACAAAGAAGGGGCAAAAACAAGATATTTCGCTGGGTAAAAACTATGCATAAATTAAGCACATTCCTCAACTAATTAAGCGGCAATAAAATTGGAAATTCCTCGCTTAATTATTGCCACCCACAAGTGGGCGGCGAGGGGAGTGGCCTCCAATTGCCAGACAAGAGTTTATGGCAATTAATTAGGCGTGAAGCTTTTGAAACCTGAACCGCCCCGAGATTATTGCCATAATTAGTAAGAGTAAACGAGTAATCGTAGACGCGGTAAGCAGGATGCCAAAGCCCCTCAGACTCTCAAGCCCCATTGACTTTCTGCCAAAAAGAAAAACACAAAAAGAAAGCCAGGCATGCCAGGCGAAATTCAAACTGCTGTGCACTCATCTTGAAACCTCTCTTCTGCTCCGCTTTCCCACGAAACCGCTTTCCCAGTGTTAGGAATAAGATAAAGTTTACGACAAAACAGCCTGAAATTGCAACTGGCTTAATCCTTAAAGAGCTCCGGACTATGATAAAAAAATAATTAAAGTGCGGGGAACTTAAGGAGAGCAGGTCATCTCATCACATATCCCTGCCGTTTGCCTGGCTTAAGCGGCAATTAAGCTGTTTTATTCGAGCATTAACCCTGAGTTGAAGAGCTGAGTTGAAAGGCATGCACAAGCCACAGGTTTTCCATGAAAGTTAAGTGATGTGGGTTTTAAAAATAGAATGGGGTGTACCCAGGAAACTTAAATATTTTTCCTATTTTTATAGGTATAGAACAAAGCTTTAAATCATAAATGTGAATTTTAATAAACACAGAACATAATAAATATTAAAATAGGCTTATAGAAAGCACCGGCAGTCAAAGGAAATATTAAACTACATCTCATTGAAAATTAAAATCCTCTGCCCACAATCAACTCAGGGCTCCCCCATCGCGCTGTCCACTATCACTTTCTGAATGCATTCCATTCACGTTCGCCCTTGAGCTCCCGTCCAGGGGCTGGTGTAAAAATAAATTCTATTTAATTACTGCACATCCCACTCTATACAGCAGGAGGCTATCCATGGAGCCGATGGGTGTTTTACCTTACCTTAATGTCGCTGCTGCTGCGGACGACTACATCCTGGCCAGCACTGTTGGTGGTGGCGGTCATCTGGCCATTGCTGGTGGCCACCAGGTGCACGTTGATGTCGGAGCCCACAAGGTCGCCCTTACCTGTTGAAGAGACGACACGAGCAGCGAGAGAAAAGGTCAGCACTATGCAGAACATTCAGAATCAATGAGCATAAAAATAGAGCCTGGCATTTGTCTGGGCCAAGTAGTAGACCCCGACTTGATGGCCCTGCTCAAGTTGATGACACTGCCTGCCATGAATGAATAAACAAGCAGATGACTCTCCGAGCCCCACTGTCTTGGCCAAAGTGAAAATGGAATTCAGCCAACGCAGAAGCGAATGAACTGACAGAAGTTCAATAGACGCTACTAGTCGAAACATAAACAAAATGAAAATTTGACAATCGATAAATGAAAATCAACAGCCAAAATAATGGTTGGAAATGGATGGGAAAAGTAAATAAAATTCATTTAACTTTAAAGTGCTTGCGTTGGCGTTATTACATTTTTTAAAGAAGAAACAGAAAACTAAATAGGTAAAACCTATATTAAAATAAGTAAAAATGTGTTGATTTTATTTCAGATTAAAATTACAAATTCCAGAAATAGGAATTTATTTAAGCCATTTAAGAATTAATTTATTTGGTTCAAATAATATGATCTTAAAGAATATTTGGCCCTAAGCTGAATCCAGAACTTCAGCTTAATAATCCTTAAAATTTAATGAAGCCAAAATTAATTGATAATAACATTTTAAGAATACAAAATAAATACAAGTTTAATAGGTTTTATAATTATAATTAAACTCTGTAACTAAGAAATACAAGAAAAATACTCAATACAAACTCACCCAAAATAGCCACCACCATATCGTCTTTGATCACCTCCATGGAGCCGTTGCACAGATAGTATATGTAGTTGAGGGCGTCGCCTTTGTGGATCAGATACTCCCCGGGCGCACAGAAGTTCGTCTTTATGTGCAGGGACAAAAGTTTCAGGCAGCCCTGCAACCGAACATGTAACAAATCGGGGTTCAAGTAAATGCGATTCTGGTTTAGTCAGGAATTGTTCTTCTCGGTCAGAGGCATTTAGCATTTAGCTCGGTCGCGTTTTATTTGCGCAATGAAACAAAACGGCAACAGCTGCGTGTCCTTGCCCCGGAATGTGTCCTGCGGTTTAAGACCGACCCCCGATTTCACCCCTATTCATCCCTATTAACCCCCTTTCGCACAGCCCCAACCCAACACCAACCCCATCCAGACCCACGCATTTGCCCACGAAAAGTGGCTTAAAGCGCGCTTATAACTGTTGAGTGGTTTTTGTTTGCGTTACTTTGCCTTTCTGAATAAGCTTTATTAATGTTTGCAGTCCGCCTTTGTCATTCGGCTTCTGTTTTTCCTTTTTTCTGTATTTTGTCCGGTCATTCGGTCGTTCAATTCGCCTCGTTTTGTTTGCCTTCCAACTTAGCTTGAGTTGCATTTCATTAGGTGGCACCTCCACTTTATCCCTTCAGAAAATTGAACCACAATCGCATTATCACGCTCTATAGATATCATTGAAATGCGCGGTCATAACTTATACGTTTTCAGCTGAAAACTTCTGAACGATTGGTTATTTCCTAATAAATTATTTGTTTGATTTATGACTTGAGGCTTTTTCCTGTGTTGTGTAAATAATTTAGTTAAATATATGCTATTTATACTTTCCTTCCTGATATAAGACAACAAAGGAAAACCAAAATTCTTCAATCATATTAATTTTCTTGTGTTGCTTTGTTTTAATAATGCGGAACAACATTTTCTGTTTTAATAACAGCGTTCAATAAGCAAAATCCGCTTCTTTTGAAAAATCGTTTGCCTTGGTAAAAATGTGATTGAAATTCCTGGATCTATTTTTAGTAAAATTGAAACGGCTGCTATAGAAACGTGCGCAATTTGAAGCTTTGATCTGAAAGGCCTATATTTTTATTAACATTATTTCAGTCTTTTGTTTCTACCACCTTTAAGATACCAAAGTAAATTCCTTTTTCTACAGAAAGTAGATGTGAACGTCCTAAAATCAATTTCTTTCCATCTGCAATTGTATTCACTTATTTCAATGTGGCCTTAGTGGCTGCAATGGGTCATAGAACTTTCTAGCCCCAGAGCAGTTGTACCGTAGATGAGAAATCAATTACTGCACAATCTCTAGCTTAAGCCAGGCGGCTTTTACGCAAATGATTTCCATCTGCAACCCACCAACCCCCCCAAAACAACCGTACAGTGAGCACTTATTAAAGCTTTTTGGCGGTTGACAAGGGTATTGACATTGGCCATCGAAAACTACTCGACCACACACACTTGCATTCGAGGGGATTTTTGCGTACAAGTTTGCTGTTGGCCAAAAACCTTTTTCATGCTTCGCTTCAGTCAAACGAATGGAACTTGGCCCACAGGGCAAAGCCGAAGCACAAGCCTCAGTGAGATGGCTCGGCAACTTTACCTGTGCCATGGGTGTAGGCAGGGGGACTAAGATAAAGTTTGTATAAAAAATCCTTGGAGACTATAATTTGACAGTTTGCACTTAGAAGTTGGTTATAGATTCATTAAAATATTATCTTTTTTTTGGCACAAATTTATATTGGACATTCTTAATAACCGTTTCCAAATTATTTAGTTATTCTTTAAGAATAATGTTTAATGTTTATAAAAGGGTGCGAGTGTGAAAATTCCTTGGAGATTATAACTTTACAGAAGACACTTCGGAATTTGTTGTAAGTTGTAATTTTTTACACAGAAAACAAAAATATAACTAATATATAAGAATTTTAAATAGTCTTCGATTTTATTTACTAATTCTAATAAATAGAAAGGTTAATATTTAAAATATTAGTTATTTTGAGTATAGAACAAATGTCACCCCCTTTAACTATTCTAGACTACATCGTTGTCTGTACAACAAGCCGCTCCTCACTTTCATGTGTGTGTTTTGGCGTATTTGTATGCGGTTGTTTGGCTGCGTTTGAGCTTCAGAGCGACAAAGGACGAAACGAACGAAGCCCAAAAAACGTTTCAGTTAAGCCCGCAGTTAACTTTTGACTGCTCGCCTGGCCTTCATCTTCTCTTTTACCTGACCCCCACCTGTTGGCCCCTCCTTTTACCCCTCCCCTCATTCCCCCCCGCTCTTCCAGTCCCATTGCTGCTGATTATTTTGCCATCGCAGCCATTTCGTTCCATTTGTCTGAAGTTGAATCGGTTTCAAAGCGACATATTCTTCGACCCCTGGAAAAGAGCAATCGCACAGGTACACATGGAAAAATATTTGAAAAAAAGCTACCAGCTTTTGTTATTGGTTTCAGCGCTTACATTTTTATTTTCAAACCTTTCAAAATGCAATTTCTTTTTCTATTTTTATTGATGTTTTCAAATATAGGGTTTTTCTGGCTTTTGTGAGAAATTATTTTTTTTACAAAATAATTCGTTGAGTGTAGACTAAACTCACCTGGGAGGCCGCTTCGAATATCGGCAGCTGTAATATTTCACGATGTAGATGCATGGAGACGTCGCCACGCAGTTCCTCGGGAAATTCGCGCAGTGTCTGCAAGAAGAGGAAAAGCCGAGAAAAGGTAAGTCAAAGATGAGTGGAGACGCAGGAATAAGCTCCACCCCTACACACACACAGTCACACACGCACAAGTGAAAAGGAAAAGTAGAATATACACACGTGAAAATTGAATCGCCTGAAAATTGTAAGGGAAATGCTTGGCATTATTTTACTCTGGCACCAGGGAAATATTCAAGATTATCTGGTCTTGCTTGTTGTTTCACTGCAATGTGTATTACAAGATGGAAAAAATGACAGTAGAGGCTAAAGAAACAATAAATACCCTGTAAGTATTGTACTTATTGTTTTACCAAAAAGCAAGTTAAGGAAATTATTTCAGAGAAATTTCCCTGTTGATATATTTTTGTTGGGCTTTGCCTCCAAATTAATCAAATTATGGTTTCCTATGAAAAGGACTATAGGTATTCAGCAGATTTTACAGCTACGTTTATTTAATTGTCTTTTAATTAGGAGCGATTAAATCCGCCCAACAAATAAAGTTCGTTACCTTTTACGCGAGCTCACCCTTTAATTTTTATTCCCGATAAGTCGAATTCTTATGAAAAGAGAAGTCCCCCTGATTTTCCGCAACCTCCTGACAGGGTATAATTATATTTTTCCTTTTACCCCCGCGTTTTTATCTCTTTTTTCCTGGGATTCGCTTTAAGTGTATTGGATGGGAATTGTCGGTGTTTCGGGATTAACATGGAAATTGAGAGAGAATTTGCATCTTGCTTGTTTACATTCACCATCCAGGCATTGTTCTGACTTTCGTCTCTGTAGTTATCCATATGGATGTACATATTACTAGGGACTCAGGGGCTGATTACGCTCGAGTTTTATTCATAAGCACGAGAATCGCGTAAAATTGTTTGCCAACTAGTCCGCAAATGATATGGCCAAATCTGTGTGGCTGCCCAATTCGATGGATTATGGCTTCATATTTAGTGGATCAGCTTACAGTGAATTCCACTTAATTGTATAAATAGTTGGACAACTTGTGTGTTTGTGTTTGCCCATTAATTAAGGCCAAAGGCAACTAAATCAATTTCAGGCCGGTCAGATCTTAATTAAAAATTCACAACAAATGCCAACGCAAAGTGCAAATATTTCCGACCAAAATAGATGTCAGCAAATTTCCAAATTTCCAAATGTACAGCTGTTGACAACAAAATAGTTTTAAAAATAGTTTACAACACATCAACTATTAAGTTAACTTTTCACTTCATAAATAATTTATTTAAGTACCTACAGTTTACCATTTTAATTTTCACCATTTTTCTCTCTTTTTCCATAATTTTTACACTTTTATTTTTAAAAACGTGCAATGGCAACTATTGTTTTTTACTCAGCTGTGAATATTTATGAGTGCAAAACAAAAGGAACTTTAGCTAACCAAGCGGAACTAAACATGGAAATATGTTGAAAGTTTTTCCTGGGTTTTTGTTTGAGTTTGGTTGCTTTTATTGTATGCCCTTTTTGCCTGCCTCCCCAAAGGGCAATTTCCAAAGAATTGTTATTTATGTTCCATTCTGTCTCTGCTTTCCCTTCTGCGCTCGTTGAAGTGTAAAATATTTTACATTAATTGCGCTCACACACTGGCCAAAAGCCGAAGCCGAAAGTGGGTGGTATTTTTTCTGTTTTGTCGGCCCGAACTTAAGTTGAAATTCGCGCTGTCGGGGCCCCAACATCATTTAGCTTTTAGAGGGAAACGCCGACATTTTGCCAGTTAATTTTCATGCGCAATAAATTAACAATTTAATTTAGTGCCAGCCAGTCGACGACTCCCCATTTTCCATCGACCCCCGAATTCTGGTGCTATAATTCGTGTGGCATCGACAGGTCGTGTGTGTGTATATTTCATGTTTGGCCTGTAATTAAATTAAATTCCATTAGGTGTTGTCAAAATTCCTGTAGGAGATGCGAAAATCGGCGTTTAATTGCAGCTTAAATGGTAAGACGAGTGCTTAACATTTCCGCCGTCATATCAAGAGTTAACAGCTGACAGCTAGCTTTGTATACTGACATGAAGAAGAATCTTCAAAAGGAGGGAAAGCGCTAATTAATTTGGTAGCCTTGAGCTTACGAAAATTGCAATACATTGGCTATTGTAATGAGGAAAGGAAGGAGATAATAAGGAAATAATAGAGAAAATATAGTCAATTAAATACAAAAAAAAATAAATACAAGCTAAAAATAAAGTCTTTACAAAATTAATAATTTTCAACTTAGTAGAAAACTTTTATATAAATTACATAAATCTCGAATGACCCTAACTAAATCGAAAGTCCATTAAATTAAAGTCAACAAAGCAAAAGTCACTCACCAAGCAACCTGGAAGCTGAGATAAAAGTGGGTTTTATTTGAAGAGGTTTTAATTAACACTATTAAAAGAGGGCGCGGGGCGAAAAGTTGTTTCGCATGGCTCTCAGCTAATAGCAATTAGCGAGTGGAATCGCTGCTCTTTCGACTGCCATGCACTTCTGATGCATTTTATTGTACAGCAAGCAAGTTGGGAAAAACAAAGTTTCCCCTTTTGCCCACCTGACCAGCCGGGCAAAGTTGAAACAAGTTAAAGTTCAAAACTGCATAGCAGACCCAATGATTGATTTCTCTCGGCCAACAATCGGCTATTTCCATGCAGCTGCAGGAAAAACTTTGCCCATCGTGTTCGGAATTATAGTGCTACAGTTTCAAAGCCGATAAAAATAAACAAGAAACCAAAGCAGCTGTACACAATAAAACTGGCAAAAGACAGCTCAGAACCAAATTAGCAGAAAGAGAGCAGGCGAACTGGTAACTTAATGCACTTGACAGCTTTTACCCAGAAGATAAGGTACACAAATGGCACGTCTTTCCTTCTGCTCGAGTTAATGTAATTGTAAAAATTTTTAATTAAAATGTAGATGCCGCCCGAAGGGCCAACAGCACCGCACAGAAGGAAAACAATGAAAAGCCACAGGAAAATCCAGGCAGCCAGCCACCCGTTCACACATATAATTTCGATATTTAATTTTAACTTTTGTTCCGAATGGCAGAGTGCCAGAATGGCAGTGCGGTTGAAATACCTGAGCACATGGATGACCAATCAAAGGAGTGCCACACATTTGGCATTTGACCCGCAGCCAATCAATAAGTCACATGTCCAAGTACAGCACTATATGTTAACCCCACGGACATTTGCTTAATTAAGGGCTCAGACGTTTATCGGAGAGGAAAGGCCGCTGGCACTGACGATTCTGATTCGGATTCAGAATCTGAAAGTGAAGTTTGACTGAAGTCAGTCAAGTTGAATCCATCGATAGACTGCTGCGTCGACAACTTTGCCAATCAGTTTTTTTGGGGGGTTGGCCAAGAAAATACAGAGAAATAAATAGTTTCCTAGAGTGGAAATAGTTTACTGAAATTAGTACGTATGATAGCATTTATGCTGTATGGGAAACCAGAAGGGCTTGATATCGCTTCGATATTTCTTAAGGAAAAACTCTAATTAAATATCGAGAAAAATCAAACTGTCCATTTTTTTCAAGCTCTAAGAGCCAGACATAATTTCAAGATCGACAAGGGTCAAATACTTTTCCATAAATACCTAATGAACAAAGTTATTGACGAAACATTGACTGGTTTTCCCCAGTGTACAGCCTTCATAATTTATGACACACACACACGCTGAATAGAAAAGAGATGGATGTGCCCCGGGGGAATCGGCTACTCGATACTCACCTCGTATATGTCGATGCCATGGCTGAGTGACCAGGAGGTCTGAAAGTAGTCCTCGATGCGCTGCTTCAGCTCCTTGGGCATCTGTAATGAGGAGATCATAAATTATAATTGCATTCGCTTTGCTCTAGTTTTTGCTCTTTTTAGTTCTTTCTCTTTTTCCCATCTTAGCGTTTAATGAGCTGCAATGCGCGCTACTTTCACTTCATTTGCATGCATTTCGCGGTTGAAAGCCGCACAAATGCGCTTAATTGTGCATCGCATTGCGTATGCGACGTGGGTGCAGCTCATTGCGTATACGCCGCGTGGCGCTGCCTAATGGAGCGACCCTCAAGTTTGCCCCCATCAACAGGTTGCAGGCAACACGATGGGCAGGCAAACACGATGCCCTAGAATATACTGAAATCAGCAATTCATGGCCTTGAGCAGCCATTTCCTTTCCCTTTTTCATTTCCTGCCCAGCGTTGCGTGGCATATGGAAAATGTGCGCTGCATTCTAATAAAACCCATCGAGTGGCACTTTTCCGGTGAAGTAGGGTCCTCTCCTGAGAGTCTCATTTGGTTCCCTTTTCCCTGCGGTCGCTGCAAATCGAAATCATACTCACATTGTGCAGGGCCACAAAGTCCTTTAGGTCGCGCCATTTGCTCTCATAAAGCGAACGGCGCGAGTACATCCTTTGGATGATGGCAGTCACGTTACCGAAGACCACGGCGTGCATCAGAGCTGGTTAATGAAATGGATGCGATATATCATTAAATCTCGGCTTGGCGGCCAAAAAAAGCAATATCGGTTATGAACGCTGCACGTGCTGTAATTTTTAGGCAGAAGTTTGGCCTATATTTTTGATGAGACCTATAATTTACACCCCAGTTCCTGTTTATGCTAAACAATTTTTAACAATTTACAAAGAACTATGGGATGGTTTCTTTCTGATTTACTCTATAATCATGTCGTATGTACATATGTTGCAAATATTTGGTTTAAAAAAAAATCTAAAACAAAATAATTCACAAAATTATTTTTGGGCAAGGCATACAAATCGTTAGCTTTTTAAGTTTTAGGAGACATTTTATATTTTGGGTTAAATTATCATTTACCTTAAATTCCCCTGCGATTTAAGTAAGCAAACTCATAAAACTTAAGGTGAACGAGGCATCTTTTATGACCTTTTCCCATACATTTAAGGAATGTCTTTCCCGAATACTTGACAATTTTAGGAAACTACCATCCCCATTTATAACAATATTTTGCAGTTTAAACATTATACTTAGTACCCACCGCCAATGAGCATCATGATGATGGTGAAGACCTTTTCGGCCGTCGTGTTCGCCGAAACGTTGCCAAATCCCACGGAAGTGAGACTCGTGAAGGTGAAGTACAAGGCCGTGGAATACGTTTCCGCCGTGGTCAAAATGGCCACGGAAGCGTTTTTCCTCTCCGCCAAAAGCTGCAGCCAACCTGTGAAGAATACTTGAGGCATTTAATACGACGGGAAGACGAGAAGAGGAAACAGAGAAGAAAACTGGTTTAGTATGGCGTTTAATTACAATTTGCGGCCCAAACAAATTGGGCTTATCAAATTGACAATGACTGGGCCTAACTTTTTCGACTTCCAGTTTGTTTGTCAGTCTGTCAGTCTCTCGAGTTCGTGCCAAAATCCGGCACAAACTGTTTGGCCCCGAAACGGAAACGTCAAAGTGAAACTTTTCGTGTCAGTCAAGCCTGGAAGATTTTTCCACCCACTGATTAAGTGCCAGAAAATATGATGATGAAAACTTTTTCCCCATCGCAATATATGTGTGTTTGTGATGATTTGATTCGATTTGATGCAATGTGCGCTAATCCGTAAACCAACTTTAAACCCCGGCTAACACAATATTCATTAACCACACGTGTAGTGGGTGGGTGGTTCCAGTGGTTGGTTCGGATTCGGATGCTTGGTTTTCGATGGTCCAGGTGGTGGTGTATCTTTGGCCAAGGGAGGCTGAAAATTCAGTTAGCGTTGGACGATGCCCTGCCCTTCACTGTTGACTAACCAACTAACCAAATTACCTTTGGTACACACTCTCATAACACAGTAGAGGTCAAAGTAATGGGAAGGGAAATTAAAAATTTGCAGTTGACTATATTAGAACATTATTCATATCCAGTGATATCCTCTAACAATAAAATATTACCGCAAATTAAAAATATTAGGAAATATACAATTTTTTTTGTTTGTCAGAAAACCAAAATAGTTATTGTTCCCAAATTTTAGTAAGCAGTACATTTTTTTTTCATTTTCTATCTTTCTTTCTTTTCTATCTTTTATTTTTCCTGATTTTTTAATCTAACAAGGGAACTTTAAAATTGTTATTTTAGATATTTTGTAATTTTATTCATGTTTTCCAAAATCTCTACAACAAAGTTATCACTTAGGGCTAGAACTCAACCCAACAAAAAGTCGTCCAAAACAAAAACTTCATATGAAACAAAATTTTTTGACGTTGTTTTTCATATGAAGTCTTTTGTTTTGGACGACTTTTTGTTGGGTTGAGTACTAAGCCTTAATATTGATTTTAAATTTTTATTTCAATAGAAAGTTCGATGTAAATAATAAATAAAGCGTTCGGACTAGAATTTTGACCCCACCTGTGGCCGTAACTGTAACTCTAACTATGCGGGACCTTCAGCACAGGTGCCTCCCACATACTATACTCACCGATGTTGCTCTCGGGGAACCACTCGTACTCCTTGACCGCTATCACATACCAAATGCAGGCCAACCAATGGGCGGCCAGCGTGAAGGAGAACATCAGCAATGTCAGTATCATGGCCGTGTGCTGCGAGTATCGATCAATTTTTTGCAACAGGCGAGCAAGCCGCAACAGACGCGTCAATTTCACAAGATGGATGTGCGATTCCTGGGCACAAAAAAGAGATGGAATGCATAAAAAATATACATATAGCCAAACGACCCACTTCAAGGTTGTTAAAATGTAAGCGAACAGCGGCGAAATGCCACGCCTCTTTCGCGTTCCGCACTGCCCATTAGTTTGCTTGGGTTTTCGGCTTCCGCTTTTCCATTCTCCATTTTTTGTTTGCCACCACCTTTTGTTGCCCACTTTTCGGGGCATTCAAATGTACGATTTTGTTGCCTACTTTTCAGGGCCTCTAAACTTTTGTTATGTGCACACTAAAAAATCAGAAAATTGACAACTTCCCAGAGCCCGCATGACCGCGCTAAAAAAGGGACGAAATCAGAAGAAAGGATGTCATCAAAAAATAAAAAGATGAAGTGGCGGATAAATGAGAGGCGGGGCTAAAAGTCTAATGCAAACATAAACAAGCTTATCGGAGGGCCTGACCCGGGCGTAGAATTTGAGTAAATTGAAGGCTAATGCCGTCGTTTAACCTTAGATGGAAATTTTTATTTCTCTTTCGTGATTGCCGCTGACGAAGCTTCAGCTTAAGAAAGACCTTAAGGTATAGGGAGAAAATTAGGATGGGGAAATTGTAATTTTTGCTTTAACAAAATGGAATAACATAAATTTTAAACCTTCCGTAATATGCAAAAAATGTATTTTTATTATTAGAATAATTTTAAATCCGGCTAAAACATGACCAACCAATATAAGATCCTTTAGGTTTTTTTTAATTTTTTGTCTCCTTCTAAAGAACTCAATACTCGTTAAAGGAGAACAAAAAAAATTGATGAAAAGGTAACAAGGCATTGAAAAAACCGGTGGGCGTAGACATACAAACAGTTTAGCTAGGGCATTTAGGTAGAGCGTCAATAGACAGACAGCTACGCCTTCGTGTTTTCTCTTTCATTTGCAGTCCATACGCACTATTGCACAGACAGTGCGTTTCAAAAATGTAAGTCAACTAAGCTGTGACGACATTAAAATAGTCTAATTAACAGTAAGCTATATAATGATGGTTTTTCATAAAAACTAAAATGATTTTGTTGCTATTTTACTTGTTATTTGAAAATATTTAAAAAACTTTATAAATAAGAAATTAAAAAAAACAAAGATAAATAATATTATATCCTTTCTTGTTAAGTAAATAACGTTGAATAAAAATGTATTTCAATTACTAAAATTACACCTTTGTCACGCACTGTAAAAATGCGTGGGTTTTCTGTCTGCCTAGAAAGACAAAGGCAAAAAAACAACATCAAGGCGAATTGTAATTCACGTTGCAATTTGTGCTGCGCTTTCACTTTCATTCTTGGATTTCCACTCCCATGATTTTCAGCCCACATACCCCCTTTCCGCCCCTAAACACTGTCTCTTTCTTTGCTAAAGTTTTGCGCCGCCTCACGCTCCCTTTGTTTACTTTTCACTTTGTGTGAGCAGCGACAACGACAACATCATCGTGCACAGCAGCAACAGCTTGGCGGCAATGAGGAAACTTCCTCATCCGACTTCCTCGATTTTTTTCCCAGTGACTGACTGCCTTTTTGGGGTCCCAAAGATAATTAAAACTTTTGAATAAACTAAATATGCAAAAGTTTCAAGTGCATTAGCTCAAATTGTATGCAAAGCGAGCAAGTATAAAATAAATATCAAAGTGTATAAAAATGTAAAAGTTTAAGTCCCAAATACATTCATAAATGACTTCTGGCCAACTTTTCTGTTGCTTTGGAGAGTGTCACAAATTTTTACAATTAGAGAACATTAAAGTTTTATCGAAACTTTCTGTGTCAGCAGCTTAGCACACGCCCCTGATTTGGCCAAAAAAAAATAAAACAAAACTTTTTCTGCCCGCCCCAGAACGTGGCTAAATTTCCTGGAGCGGAAGTCACTGAAAGTGGGGGAAAATCATGGCCAAAAGCGCCTTTTATTTGATCAGTGTATCCAGCGGAAGTTGGAAAAGAAACAGCTACAAAAAAACCGCAACATGATGACGGAGCGGTAAAGAAAATCAATGAAACATGAGTTCGAACGAAATTTATCTCAAATGATAATCCCACAGGGGATTGTCGTCGAATTTAATCACCAGCAGCCATAGAAAAATATTTCTACTGATAGCATATAGAAATTTAATTATTTTTCATCATAGACAAATACCAAAAAAAAAATATATAGCTTTGCAATGATGGCTTAAAAAAACAATTATAAATATTACGATTAAAATAAGCATTTAGATTTTAAACACGAATAATAATACAATAATTAATTTATGTTGTTCAGAATAATTTAAAATTTTAAGTAAAAATATTATTAAAATCATTTTAATATTAGAAGTTGCGTTTTCCACTAATTTTCAAGGATGATTTCGAATATAGGCAAAAACAAAATCAAATATAACTTAAAACATATGTTCAAGACGAGCTTGATTTTTATTATAATTGCCTAATGCTTTTATAAATTGCACTTAGCAAAGCCCCACTGTAATGGCATTTGGTAGTGCGCCCAGGAAATCCTTGGACTGTCAATAAAGACGACGACAGCGTTCTCCACTTGGCGCAATCAGTGCGCTGACCACTTCACAGGAAGAGAAGATGTCTGGAAGGAGAAGCAGGCAACGAGCCAAGTGAAAGCTGAATAACATAAGCCCGCTCGAGGACTGCGCCATTGTCCTGCGACGATCGCTCGAGGGTTTTAGTCCTCAGAACCACCGGACGGTGGCCAATGTCATCATAACTGCACTTACATAGGACTTTAAGCTCGAGTCTGCGGCCGACTGCTGGACCAAACCGACACACTTTTCGGGATTTAAAAACATTAATGCTGTTCTAGCTGCACATTTGGGTCACAACCTTGTCGACGCCCGCCTACTTAGCCCGTAATTAAAACGCGGACCAGCCGGAACACTCAGTCGGCGAGGCTTTGGCCAATGTAATCGGCTTAATGAGCGTCAACTGCTCTCCAAAGGGGTCAAGTGCTGAGCCTGCCTTTTGTGCAAAAAGCTGTCTAAAAATGCCAGCTTAAAATATATGCACTTGGAATTCCTGTTTGTAGAAGCAAGCTTTAAGTTGGAATTATAGGGTGGCTTGCTTAAAAAATAAACAGAGAAACAGTGCACAAAAGTTCAATTTATAAATACAATATTTTTATCATATTCTTATATTTTTCTATTCCAATATTTAGTAATTCGAAATTATAAACCCAAATTATAAGTTTAGTTTACTTTTCCTTTTGCCATTAACAAAAGTCACTTAATTGTAGACCAAACCCTAAATTTTAAACGACACACATTACAAACCCCATTCTCCAAACAAAGTAAAATGAATTCTAAATTTTTCGCCCCAACTGCACATTTCTGTATAATCCGATTAAGTGGCCCAGCGCAAAACTGTGAACTTTGAATATGCATAATGCATGCGGCCAAAATAGTTTTATGCAAATCTCCTAAGGCCATTTACCACTTGAAATTTGGGCCATAAATGATTAATGTAAAGCCCCGGGGAAAAGCCGCAAGGGGATTTAAACAAATTGGGCAAACAATTTGTCGGGAACACGAAATAGTGTGGACTTAATGGTAATGAAACTATGTTGTATGTGATACATCATCCCGTCGATTCCTTGGGTATATAGAAGAGCCTCGACCTCCGGCCTCCAAATGCAAATGCAAATCTGGCCTTAATAATTCAGGGCTTGTTGGGTAAATTTATGCAATCGTCGGCTGTGAATAGCGATTACTCACCTCGCCGTCGTACAAATCGGAGGCGTAGAGGTGATCAAAGGGCAGCGCGGCCAGAAGATCCAGGGCGAACCATCCTCGGAAGTAATTGATGGCAATCTGCTTCGAATTGGAGACAACCTCGCCCTTGCGCGACACGAAGGTGGTGCGGAAGTTTAGCAGAATATCTGCAATAAAACGGCAATAAAGGTGAGCGGTGAAACAATGTTTACAATGCCCGCAACGAGACAAATTCAATTCCCATCCCGTTCCCCCATCATTGTCCCCTCCAGGTGGGGACGATGATGATTGTGTCTCTGGCCTCCACAGGTGGCCCATAAAAGGGACACCAATTGAGGTCCGTTTTGCGGGAGGATGCGTTATAAACTCGAACAGTGGATGGTTGCTTTGGATCCATTTATACATATGTATATGTATGTGTTTTCAGCTTTACTTAAAAAAAAAAGTATGATTGATGGACAAATTCAGATTAACTTTTATTTATAGTTTTTAGCTGTTAACTATATTTCGGCAAAATTCTTAGCGTATTATTTGATTTGAAGTACTTTTTTCTACATAATTACATGAAATGCGATTTATCTCTTTGATAATTTTACTCATTATTTTAATTCCCCATTAGCTAAAAGCCTTTCGATTTAATGAATAATTCGTAAAGAAACTTTTAGCATAGTAAAAAATAAATCCTTTCCATCCGTGTTTTTATGTTTTTCAATGCACACTCACCTACGATAAAGAGCGCCTCCACAATCACATCCGATACCATGGTCTGGCGATCCGCTTTGGCAAACGCCGCATTGTAGGGCACCATGAGGGCAACGTAGAAGGTGGCCACCAGAATCACCCAGTCCCAGATGCCCTTGAACACCCCGTAATGGGGCAGAATCAAGCGTGACTTTTTTATCGACTGGGTTTTGTATTCCGGAAACGGTGCCTCCGTTGAATGCATAAAGTTCTGCAAAGTAGATTGTGGGCAATGGCATGAAATGAAATCCGGGCACAAAACATGAAAAGTGAATTAAATTAATTGAACCTTTCACAGCGATTAGTTGCCAACCGAATTTTTAATCCCATTAATTTGATGTTTTCGAATCCACCTGAAATTCCATCAAGGGGGATCGCAAAAACAGAAACTAATGGGGGTTTCCAAAGAAAATATAAATGAAAATAAATTCTATAAAATTTGTTTATAATTTTTTAAAATGTAATTACAATTAAATTTTTCTAGTATTTTTCTAAGATATTTTTCTTATTGGTAAGCAATTTTTTTGCGTGTATCAAAGCACTGAGCACTTTAAAAATCGCCGAGCAAAATTCAAATTGCGTTTGACGTGGGACAACATGGTTTTAAACTGCGTTGGTGGTTGGTTTGCGTTGCTCCCACTCATCGAGTGTTTAACCCAGCAACTCCCACTCATTTTCCCCGTTCCCCCGGGCTTATACTCACATTGCCCAGCTTCAACTTGGTCTTGACGCCGCCCTTTTCCGGCTTGTAGTGTCCGGACAGCTGGTAGAGGACCGCTCGACTGCGCCGGCGGCCCATGTTGCAGCCGGCGGGAACGTCCAGGTTGTTGCCCTCGCCCGCCTCCGCATCGCCGTTGCTGTCCGGCGGTCCGCCCAGGCCGGGCAGTCCGCCCAGGCCCAGCATTCCGGCATTCGAGCCGGCCCGAAACCGCGCCCCCAAAAGAGCAGCTGTAAGGGCAAAAACTTACAGAGTCGCAACAAAAAAGAGCGCAAACAAAATCAATCAGTGGGATGGGGTGATAAAAGGATGGGTTAGGGGTTTTCGGTTCGTAATTACAGTGATTTGCCGGATCGGTGTGTTATAATAGAAAGAGCACAAAGAGAAAGAACACATAAAATTGTACACATAAGACATTGTGAATTAATCGGCATGGTTAGTTTTTAAGGTTTTTTCGTTTATTATTTAAGTTTTTCTTATTTAAAGTGTTTTTAGTTCGGTAAAAAAAATATACTTTTAAAGCGTCACAAAATGCTAGTGTGTGTACGTGTATGTATGTGCACTCCCTCAGTTACTCGGGTAAAATTTTCCTGAAATTTTGTCGACTTTCCGACAAGTTAAATAAAGCTTTTCGCCTTAAATGCCTTGGCTCCATTTATTATTTTTGCTGAGTTTTATTTGAGCAGCTTAGTTGGCGCAAGATGAAAATTCAACTTGTACAGATGGTGTTAGCTTTGGCGCATTAGTAAAACTAAGTTTCCCTCCTAAATGCTTTGGTTTTCTTTATTATTTCTGCAGAATTTTATTTGAGAAACTTTTAAATCGCAATGACAAAATTGTATGTAGCCCCCAAAGGAAGCAAGCAATTATATTCTTTTTCCTAAAATCCCCCAAAATAACATTATACATTCCTGCCCACATTAACCTTACGGATATTGAAACCACTGGCATCGCCAAACAATTAATAATCTCCTTCGATGGCTGACAAATATTGGCCTGGCCTCGGTCAGCCCAACAAATCAGGCGAATAAACATCATATTTCACAGCCGCACAAACAAAGCTCGATAAGATTTCCCACCCACGGAATCTTCTTCTTCTATATTTGGCCCAGCAAAAGGCCCATTAAATTGAACTTAATTCTATTTGCGTGTGGTGTCTCAAAAGGACAGGCATGCTATAAATAACAATTAGCTGGATGGTGAAAAATGGACCCCAAATTTTGGTCCGAATTTGATACGTTTCCCATTCCAGCGTGTACTAATTATATGGAAAAAAAGGCACTGAAAATTATGCAAATAACCCCCCAAGAAAGTGACCACTTTTTGGTCCACTCCAATTTGTCTGCTTTTCCTGTTTTCCTTCCATTTAATTTCTTTTTTATACACAACGAGTAATTTTTTGACCAAAATATGATTTCAATTTTAAGACCCACAACCCACGTTAAGTCCAGTTTGACTCCGGTGCTGTCATATCAAAATGCCAATTAAGTCGGGACCGCCAACTCACGGATACATTTATATACGGTATATATATTTGTATCCGTAGCCAAGCAACAACGAGCCGTCGAATGGGTAAAAAAAAGGTCAGAGAAAAAATTAAAGATAAAAAAGCATCTCAGTTTACGCTCCGTGCATACACAAATGTTTTTTATGACTGCTGGCAGAACGGTATACAAAAAAAAAGGTGGAATACTTTAACAAAATATGCACAACTTATTCGGGTCCGAGGGGAAAATTCACTGACAGGCCTAATGATGTGTGAAACGATGGCCATCATCGCATAACTGTCGCAATGCCATAACGATTATGCTCATTGTTGATGGCAATGATAATTCCATTTCAAGTCCGGCTCATCAAAATGCGCTTTATCACAAAATTTTCGAACTCTGCTCGCCTAATTACCTCTCTCCATCGCATTTTCCTTGCGGCCTTTGTCAAGGCATTAATTTTCCCATTGACGGGACACTCGAATTTTCCACCCAACTTGATTCGAGTTGGGAAATTGAGTTTGCCAAGGTTGGTTTGTTCGGCTCGGACTTAATTTCATTTGCATAAATTAACAAAAATTGAATCAAGCTTTGGTCTCAGTATAGATTAATTCGATATAGACTGCATTTCAACTGACTGGTTTCTGGCATCGTTTTCGTGCTTGCCTGCCACTCAATGGCCATGTTAATGAAATTCATTACCGAATGTTGCCCGTCGTGTAAATCTGTGTTCATCTAACACAATTACATGACGTAAGCCCTCACAGGCAGAAGGGCGATAAGTACGTGTTGCAAGTGCAATCGGTATTTGTAGCCATCTCTCTCAATCACCTGCAAACTCTGTGGGCAACGTGCAACATCTGGGCAGTATTTGGTGTGAATTTCGATTCCCTGTTGCAGGATCTTTTTTGAGGTATATTGAACTTGCCAAAAACTCTATTAAACAGGAAAACCGAAATAAATGACATAAATAGTGGAAAAGCTAATATAATTCAGAAAAACTATACAATGAATTTAGATGTTATAATGCGAAAATAATATATAATAAAGAATCATTTCCATATATAATGGAATAGAAGCTGAGATTCCTCATAGTTCGGAATATCCTATAAATATTTAAATATTCAACTGCAAAAACAAAGGATTTAAAATACAATATCCTGCGTCTCTTAAATTTCAATCCACTAATGCGCAATCTTCCCTTTCCATTCCCGATTTAAAGTCCCATCAATGCCATCAGCACTAAATAATTTAAAGCTTTACTGCCAGGTAATTCAGAGGACAGAAGGACTTTCGACCTGGCTGAATGTGCAGCAAATCCTCTTAGGATTCTCCTGGTCGAACTTGAAGTGGCTTCTGCTCGGTTTGCATGGCTCGTAAATCTGCAGGCCAGAAGACAGACTCACAGACGGCGAACAACAGATGAATAACGAGGGCAATAAAGCTGCAAATGAAAAGGTCAGAGGTCGGGGGGCAACGCTGTTTTTTATCCCTGCATTAGCAGAATTCCTCGGCGACACATGCGATTCGAGGGCAGGGCCAAAGTGCCAGGAATAAGTTGTGACGCTGTCAGGACTCTTCGAGTGGTGCATCAATATTTCAGCATCCTTTGGGGAGCCATCGCACACGGGAGCACACGTGTGCCGGTGTGTCCAACTTTTTTGTCTGATTAATCCAGTGAATTAGACAGAGAGCATATTTAATGCGGCTAAACTGGAAAAGAACTCCAAATAAAGAGGGAATATACAACAAAGACGGGGTTAATTAGATAAATGCGATGATTGAACTCCAGGCAAAAAGTCGAGACCAATATAAAAGTTTAATTGTGCTCTACGCCGGCTTGAAAGGCATTATTGCCATTATTATCATTACGAATTCATTCACTTTTAAGCACAATTTCGGCCGCCCATCGACCAGATTATAGCCACAATTCAGAGCCGGCACGGCGAAAACTGCGCGTGAAAGACGAGATTTAAATTAACGTTGAAATATGGTACGCATACATCCAGTTGTCAGGGACACGCGCCGGCGAGAAAGGGGGAAACGGATGGAAAGTCGGCAAAGGACTCAAAGGAGCGACCACAGCCAGCCGGAGAACCTTCCTTCCTTCCTTCCGAGCTTCCCAGCTTCTCTTCACAGCCAGGAAGCTAACCGAAAACTCTCTCTGCCAAGAGCAAGCAAAACCAAAAGTTCCACAGAACTTTATAGGAATATTTTTGGCCGAGAGTTGAGGTGACACGCTGACACAGCTCGACAAAAAGGTAGCAATAACACAATTTAATGGCTCCAGACTGAGAAATACTCTGCCTTGAGATTTATAGCCCCAGTTATATTATGATCTTAAGTCGGTAAGTTGCTGAACAGCAAAAACTGATATTTTTACTAGCAATTTGCAATGGCTCGTAAAATATTCTGCTAACATTCTCTGTTACCTTATTTTAAATAAGATTATTTATAAATGTTCTATGACCAAACAAAGATTTGCCAAAATGAAAAACTATTTACTTCAAATAAGATTATTTTGATTACCGTTAAAGAGGTTTTAAAATTATCTCTAAATGTTATAAATGTTTTTTAAATAAATTACCATTGAACTTTTCTTTAAATTATTATTTTACTTCATCTATATTTACTTTTTTAGCATTAAAGTTTAATAACCAAAACCGTTTAATAAATATGAATATAGAATTTAAAATTCATGTTTCCAGAACCACCTATACTTTTATTTACCTATCCTTCAATTTTTCCTTATTTTACCGGGTACATTGTGGCATATTTATCCGCAGATCTGCCGCAGACACGTGTGGTTATGTCATCATATTTTAGGAAGCTTTGGGAGCCGTTTCATAATATTTGGCCAACTCAGCTGTTCTGAGGGAATGCATCAGTGTCAGTGTCTTCGTGCTTCGTGATGTGTGGGTGCTTATTAATTCATTATTTGGGGATTGAGTGTGTGATTGTGTGGCTTTTTGTGCACGCTTGGATATTCGGCATTTGGTTTTTAGCTAGTGCATTATTTAATACCAGTTGCTTATTTTCGACGGACAGTGTGTGTGGGCGGGGGTGTGTGTGTATACTTACCGCTATCACATTCCTCGTTCACATTCATCTCCAGCATCTTGGTGTGCGTGATGTCCTTGTGGGAGGCCAAAAAGAGCACCACATCCCGCTTTTCGTTCTTGATGGGCACGATGTCGAACAAGCACCAAAATGGAGCACCTGCAATGAGTTTTCACTTTAATCAGCGGCACAGAAAATGAATTTCCACTGCATCGCGCATACGCCACGTGGCCTGCGGTCGCCCAGCCTAGCTCAATATTTGGCCTTGCACTGTGTGCAGTGTGGCAGTGATTTTCATTTGCGGCTGCATAATTGAAACCTCATTGATGAAACCCTAACATAGATGGTAGAAAAAACACAGAACTCTGGCTGAGCTTTATCCCATTTTTAATTAGCTGTTAAATGCTTCAAAAACGACGGCATTCTATGTGGCTTGAAATTGATAAATAAATTGCATGGCAATTCAATTAGACCGCAATTATTGTCCTGGCCTGCATTTTAATTATCTCCCGCTAATTACACACCCAGCCCGAGGTCAACAAGATCCAGTTAGTCTGCCGCAGCCAATGCATAATTAATAAAACATAGCCCCGGCACACACGAGAAAAGAAAGCCGAGGGGTGAAAAATAGGGGTTGGATCGTACACTTGAAGAAAATACATTTAGTCATAGGTTCAGAAATTATAAACAACTTTCATAAAATAAGTTCCCCTTTTAATATTAATATTTAGGAAATAAAATAAAAGTATATTTTAAGTGGTCTCATTATTATCACCTATAATATTTTGTAAGTTCCTTAGATTGCATTTTTCAATAAAATACTTCAGATATTGGGTAAGTCTTTTAAATGTTTAATATTATTAACATTTTAGATAGTTAAATACCTCTTTTAATGTTTTAAAGTAATTTCATGACCAAGATTTATTTTATACATTTTTTCTTGCTCTGTGAAATTGCTGATTTTGGGTTTCAGCTATATATTTTCACTGCTGTAAGCACATTCTCTCTCATGCCTGCAGTCGGTTAAAAGTTTTAAACGCTTCGCTAATTAGAAAACTTACACTCAAAGTTGATGGATCTATCCATCTTGGGCTTATCTCTGCGCCGGGCTTTGTCTTGATTAATCGTGACCTCATTAGGGCTACAAAATACCGCGGCCTGGGCGTGCGAAAATGTTAAGAGCACAATTTATTGTACGCCCAGCATGTCAACGAGCCGTGGCAAAATGTAAGGATATAGATGGGTGGAAGGGAAAAGGGCGTAGGTCCTGCGAGACTTGAACATGAACATGAACCCACGGAGAACCGCAGGAAACTAGTTCAAGTCTGTCGCGCTTAACTCAATCACGAACAGTTCCCCACCGCCACAAAAACAAGACCAAGGGAGCCGCAGAGTTCACTTATAAGTCAATGGTGGTTGGATTTCCAGCAAAACTCAGCAGGTGAGACCAAAATTGATTTCCAACTTTTCACTCTTGTACTGGTAGTTTTCACAACCTTTGTCGTCAGATGAACAGCCGTACAAAAGCAATAATACTCCCTTTATGCGGAAAAGAAAAGCTTTTCCATTTTCGTAGAAATAGTAGGACAATAGAGAGGTGATGCTGACTGAAAGACTGTATGACAGAGTGATTCGGAAGAAATGAAAAGCTGCACGAATGCCTTAAATAAGCCATGCAGTATTGGCCTTATCAAATTGTTCACTACTTTTGTTCATGAAGTTGGGGGCCAAGGATTAGCATTCAATTGGGAGGTCTTAATTGGAACTTCCAAAGTTTTGGCATTTTGAAAGGGGGACTTTTTATGGAAGCTATGATAATTTTGGTTTTTCCTGTGGCAAATTTATAATGTGGAAAAATGTTCATCACCATAATAAAATTCACTTTTTCGCACTGAATATATATATTAAATCTCTATAATCCCTAAATTAAATTAAATTTTGGTAATTAAATTATACAAATGTATAAAAAATAAATCATGAAACTAGGTTCATATTTGCTCTTACTACATATAAATTCCTGTATAGTTTCAAAGACTAAGATTATGTGGTAAAACCTATTATCCTATTCCCGGGACCCCTGCTTATCAAGATTTTAAGTTTTAATGATGTCTCGCCCCTCTTTTAGCTACTTAAACTTGGCAAGTTTTATTATGTGACCATTGGCAACCACAAGCCCAGAAATAATTTCCTTTCTGGCACTTTCTTTTTGCACAAGCCCCCATTTTCATGAAAATTTTTAATTAAAAAGGAGGCAGAAACAAAACAATTTTCACAGCATTCCCGCACATCGTAATTGGGACGGCTTACCTTCCTTCTTGTAGAAAATAACCTCCAGCTTCAGTTCCATCTTATTGGAGAGACTTTTCTCAATTTGCTGCTTGTGCTCCTCCTTCGTATCCGGTCCGTAAAGGAAATGACATGAGCAGCCTGTTTCGATTACGCGGGAATTTTCGACCGGAGTTTGAGTTTGTTTGTTTGCAATTGAATAAAACGGCACAATACATTCAAATGAGTATTCAAGTGTTAAATAAGTTGAGCCTGTCCGCTGGGACAGAACGGTTCGTCCTTACCCTTTTGCATAATTTGCGCGCGTGAATATCCTGTCAAATCCACGAACCCATCCGAGCAATAAACAATTGGATTGCCATTTGCCTGCGCATTGCCGAGCACAAAGTTCGAGTCTGAAAGTGGAGGAGGAAAGAGAAAAGTTGGATGAGCCACTGTGGGGCAAACTGGAACAGGAACAACAATGGGAAAATGTTGCAGGGGGAAAATGTTGGCTATACGGATGGGTGATGGTGAAGGATGATGTTCAGCTGCTTTTCATTTGCCATGAAATATTGTCCCGACAAACAACGGTAATAAGACAAGTCCTGCTGTGTGTCCTTTTCATGGAAAAACAAGACTGACGGACTCAAGTTGCCTGTCGCCTTAAAATGCACATTTCCTTTCCATATTGCCAGAAAAATGTTTTTTCGTATATATATGTATGTTTACCATGAATATTTATTAAGAATTACAGAACGAAGTATTTCTTTAACTTTAATTAATATACAGGTAATACTGTCACGGGATTAATCAAAATGGTAGTGATTTAATTGGAATGAATTTAAATAGAATATAGTAAAAAAATAATACTTCCAAGACCTGGACCTTAGCAATAAATTAGCGTTATGAATACAACATTTTTTTTTCACTTTTTTCTATACAATGAACCATGCCTTATTATTATGAGTTTAACCTTTCCCTTTTTATGGCTTTGCCATTTGCACTTGACCTTCATGTCTGGAACATGCTCGTACATTTTTTTTGTGTGCTGTTTTTGCAAACGTAGAAATAAACAAAAAATCTGAACAGCATTTAATTAAATTTCCCGGCAAACTCGCAGCAGGAAATGAAATTCTTATGTGCCATTTGGCCAGTTCCAAATTCGGACCTTTAGCTCGGCTCCTGGGAAAATCCCGGGAAATCCAGCCAAAGGGTATTTCTATCCTGGATTTGCTCTGTGCGCACTTATTTATAACATTTCCAAGGAACACAATTCAATAATAGCGAGCTTCTCGCAGCGTGCTTTCCTCTTTATTTACCTTTTCAATGCAATTTCATAAATAGAAATGCTACCCACTTCCACATCCCCTGTAACCGAAGCACTGTGAATAGAACGAGAAAGATCGTAATTGACGACACAATGGACAGATTATACGGGAAGATATATACATATGTATATTTGGAGAGCAAGGATGTGGATGCAACAAATTGAATTGAAAGACAAGCCAGCTGAAAGGCAGCTCAAAATGAATGAAAACTCATATGGCACACAATAAAGTTAATCTGCATGTGTGTGTTCTCTACAACAATATCAACAAGTCATAGATGTGTTCTAGAAGTGAAAAGTAATTGCGATAATCCAATTTATTAGCAATCAAGGACATTTTGTCGCTGGAAACTGTGGAAAAGTGCCAGTGAATTGTTTACACTTCACTCTCTCTCACGAGGAAACTATAAAGTGATTGTTAAATAGTTTATTCTGCAGTCACCGCAATAACCAACAAATTAAAAGTAAATTTACGTAATGTGTTGCATCAATAAAAAGTTGGCGAAAACTGCTGTGGTCGCATTAAGAATGAAATGCACACATGAGAAAAATCGAATTTAATTGTTTGTACTCCAATTAGTGGCTGTAATAAGTGCACTTAAAGGAAAGTATGTATATCAAGTATTAATAGTTTGATTGTTCAATTATAAATGGGCCTTGGATTTGAGCCATTAAAAAGTCAAAAGCTCACAATTTACATTACAAATATTAAAGTTAATAAAACGATGCAAAAAATTCATAATGTACTGTATTTGATTAACGCGAAATATCATTTTATTAGCAAATGCCATTGAATATTACATATTCTATTTATTTTCTCTAATATATTAAATATTTAAATAGATAACATAAAATTTAATTGAGTTTCAACAAAAAACTGTAAAATATTATTTCCATTCCTGAACGTTTTATTTCTATTTAATTGGCGTAGACTATATATGTGGTAAAAGTTTAATTGTGTACCTTTTGGAAAAGTAATAAAATGCAGAAACAAAAATTTTAAATTGTAATAAATAGTTGCTTCTCAAATTTCCGTGTTCATATTTGTAATAAATACCTAACAAAGAGGTTGAGAGGCACAATAGCTTAACAACCGGAGGCTAAATTTCTTACAGGATTCTTTTTGTTTGAGTTTTTGACTGCTGCCGACGACAACGACATCCATCCACACGCTCAACTGACTGACTCCGGCTCATTTAATATGCCTATTTTATTATTTATGCCTCGTAAAACCTTTTTAATCCCCCTCTGCCTACTGAGCATTTCATTTCATGTTCAGAGCTTGTGACAACTCGTAAAGACAATTATCGCTCCCTATGTCTTTCGGTGTGCGAAATAAAACAATTAATTTATATGATGGGGGACCGACATGTTTTCCCGAGGAAGGGACAAGGAACCCAGCAATGTCAGCACGTGTGTGTCCTGTCAACGATTGCCATTGGCGAAAGGAAACTTGAAGTTGATCCGGATTTTCCCAGGACTAAAATCAAAATAGGACACAGATTAGGGCCCAAGTCAATCGATCGGGAAAATGTAAACAAAAGATGCGAAAAAACTCAAACCAAAAGATAACTACAACTGATTTGCGGTCGAGGGCCTGTAGAATTAAATGACTAGAAAAAATAAATCTTTAACAATGAGATAAGTATTTATTTAAAATTATAAAATCTGTACAAAAATTGGTTATTTAAATGTAATGTTTTTTTCCTTTTTCAGATCATTAAATTTGAATACGAGAAAAACACCCCAAGAAAATACCGCGGCAACCAAACAAGGCGCAGTTTAATTTACTGGAAAACATTTTTTCTCTCAAAGGAATATATATTTTTTTAAGGCTTCCACGAGTCTTTTGTGTATTGCGTTTCGCGAAAAAAAATGGGAGGCAAGAGTGGGCATGCACGCACAGCAGCACATAGTTTTAATTTCCCAGCGCAGGGAGCGGTATTTTGCATGCTGGATGGGCAGATTTTCAATATGGATAAGGTCTCCCACACGCGCTTCCATATATATGTATGTACGATGTACATATAGAACAACAATTCGTGACTGGTCGGCAGATGTCCCTACGCGCGAGCACTTAACTGACATGTCCCCTAAAATCCCTGGTGCCCCAAGATTGAGAGAGCTACACAAACAAATATAAAATACTTACAAAAAGACGAAAAAGAATAACTTTATATTTTTTAAGATTTTAATTACAGTAATCTCATCAAAGATTAAGTAATTAATGATATTTAAGTAAACCAAATATTTATTTATCCAAAAATAAATATTTCTTTGGTGTGTTATTGGAATTTGTCATTTAAATAAATAATTAAAAAAAATACATACAAATTTTTTATTTAAAAAAAATAAATTTTTTCTCAGTGTACAAAAAAGACCCGGATGCTTATTCTCGGAAATCTCTTATGCGTACTTTTTTACGAGTTAGCCAAAACGATGCCGGCATTTGGCTTATGCAAGCTCCAGTCGGGGCTCTCAATAAAAAGTGTCATAAATATAACATTACAGAAATCATATAAAGCCCAGACTCGGACCGGGCGGAATCGCTTGGCATTAGCATTAGCATTTCACTTACGGGTGCCATCGAACCGTGTGGCGATTGTGTCCAGGAATGTGTTCTGGGGCGCTAGCAGCCCCTTGCGGGCTGGCATGGGAATGGTGGGGCCGGTGGCGCCTCTGGAAGCGCTGCTTGGGGCCTGGCAATGCTGCAAGGAGAAAGGGGGAAAACCCATTAATTTTATTGACAATTTTCATTTTTTCCAGTTTAAATTTTAGAAATTTGGACTTTAAGCGGTCGCCTAAATATGTATACATCTCATTATACCCTTGCAGAGGGTATTATGATTTTAGTCAGAAGTTTGCAACGCAGTGAACCGACCCCATAAAGTATATATATTCTTGATCAGCATCACTAGACGAGTCGATCTAGCCATGTCCGTCTGTCCGTCCGTCTGTCCGTCCGTTTCTACGCAAACTAGTCTCTCAGTTTTCAAGCTATCGGAATAAAACTTTCCCAAAAGTCTTCTTTCTATTGCAGGTAGTATATAAGTCGGAACGAGCCGGATCGGACAACTATATGATATAGCTCTCATAGGAACAATCGGGGAAAAAAAATGTAAAAAAAATTATATCTTGGGTGTTTTTGAACCTACAACATACTACTTTTGGAAATGTCATTTTTTATTTAACTCTGAATTTCGAATAAAATTTTTTTCAAAATCGGACTACTATATCATATAGCTGTCATAGGAACGATCGTAAAATTAATGGGAATATAATAGGAAATAAATTATTGCTTCGTTGGTTTTTATTGTATTCTCTTCTACTCTAGGATATAACTCTTTTCAAATATTTTCGAATTTCGATTTTAATTTTATCAAAATCGAACTACTATATCATATAGCTGCCATTGAAACGAACGCAAAATTAATGAAAAATAATAGGAAGATTAACATTTTTGCGATTTGTAAATTAATAGGAATTATCTGCAAGGGTATATAAGCTTCGGCTGGCCGAAGCTAGCTTCTTTTCTTGTTTTAAGTTGGTTCCAAAACCCATTTCATATAATTTTAACGCGCTATTATAAAATAAGAATTTTAGTTGTCGTATTAAATATAATATATTAAATGTTTTTTCATTTCTTCAAAATGATAAGCTCATTTTCGTACAGTCACGGTTCGACCAATAAAACCAATGGTTCAAAAACAGCATCTTTCTAAAATCTTATATTAATAAAACAATAAAAATGTATCCATATACAAAAGATTTCTTAACGCTACAATAAAAAAAAAAACTAGGTATTTATTTAAAAAAATTTTTTGTTAACGTTTGGGAGCTTCCACTGCATTTATTTTAATTGGTTTTTTTCGATTTATACCCGTGGCATTGTGTGCTCTTTGTCGGGCTTCCATTTGTTTTTATTATTGGAGCCAACAGCGCATTGATATAAAAATATTTGTATGCCAACACTTTTTCATTCAGCTAGTCGAACAATGAAAACCGGACTTAAATGGAAAACATTGCGAATCCATTTAACACAGACGCTGTGCGGGCGACCCTGCGAAATCGGTGCGATGAGGTGTGTATATCGAAATTAACTTTTTTTTGACGTTGATAGGCGTAATTTGTTTTTGCCCACAGGTGCTGCTCGCATTAATTTCCAGCAACAGTTTGAGCGGTCAAATGGCAGCAACAAATAACCGCAACCGCAACAGTGACAGCTGTTGGACTTTCACGTAACAAAAGAGGCAAAATTCGAATACTGATAAGACTTCGACGTCACTGGCGGCGTGTTGACATTGGAAATATCCAAGCGATAAGCCAAGGAAAACACTTACTCACAAGGGGTATTCACCAGTTATCAGGATTTTATATTTCTTGTTTTATAATTTATTTTCCTACAAGTTATGAGATTTTCCGAGAGGTTAGTCTGGGTAAATAAATTTTTTTCCCAGCATAATATCATTCTTGAATCCAACTATCATCAATGAGAAACTTAAATTCTTGTAATATTTACAAAAAATTAGTATTAAGCACGTAATTAAAATCTTGGAATACACAATACTGGTAATAACTAATCAACATGCTCAGTGAACTGTTAAGAGTACTTTTCACCAAAAACCCACCGAAGCACACCCTAACAAGTTGAGTTACTATCCCCTGCGTTTGATAACATGCCTGATACACCGATAACGTTAATCCTACAGTTCAGCCTGCAGCTCTCAACCTTGTCGATGTATTTGGGTTAGCTATCGAATGCAATTTTGATTAATACCCCATTAGGGGGGCCTGTAACCGCCACACCCACCCACTGAGAGGGCGGAAAATGCATATTGCCATTGAGGTTGTACCGCAAAATTTTCATTTCCAACATTTCCGGCGACCAGCAGCAGGTGGCAGGCAGCATATGATTTCTCCGATCTGGTAAACCTCGACATATGCATACACTCATAGAAATTTTCCGGTAAAATCGCCCTAAAAACAAGGAAAATCGCCCTAAAACGGGGGTCAATGGCGACTAGGCAACAAAATTAGGGCAAATTGCCCTAAAAATACGGGTGAATTTGTCACACATTTAGGGCGATTTTTCGTATATCTAGGGCGATTTTTCTATTTTCAAAGCTAATTGCCCTAAAAATAGGAAATGAGACCCTTAAACTAAAGGCAGTTTCCTTTAAATCCAGGGCGATTTTTCTGGACTTATAGGCGAATTGCCCTGGAAATCGGAAAAAATACCTTTAAACTAAAGGCAGATTTTCATAAGTCTAGGGTGTTTTTCTGGATTTTAGGGCAAATTGCCCTAGAAATATGAAAAAATATCCTGAAACTAAAGGCAGATTTTCAAAAATTTAGGGCGTTTTTCTGGATTTATAGGCGAATTGCCCTAAAAAAAGCAAAGTGCTCCCCAAAATTTCACGGCTTTTTTTCATAAATAAAAATACGATTTCATTATATTTTTTTTTTTTTTTTTATATTTTTGTTTGTTGTTATTTACACAATTTCTAATTATATACATTTACATACTTTTCTACTTATTCTTATTGCTAAAAGAATTACATCGATCTTAAAAATAATGTTTTGGCTTAATGTATTTTTTGGTCTTTAGGTTGTGTGCTTCCGCCGGAGAAAATTTTAGGTCTTTTAAGGTTTATTACAATAAGTACTGATTATCAAATTTGACTTCTAATTGAATGCATAGAAATTATATTTTTTTTTTGAATGAACAGATTGTTTCTTTAAAATAGTTACAGTTTTAAGGTTTTATAATCCTTCAAGAGTTCGGATAATGCTTTACCTTTCTTATCAGACTCTAAATGAATTTCATAAAACATTTTTTGGATAAATGTCGTGGTTTAAAACAAAAAATATTTTGAAGCACACATCAATACTTTTTAATAAGGTTCCCATTCTATAAAAAAACCTCTGATAGGTAAACTGGAAATTCACCAAGGTCAAAAAGGGCTTGTTCCCACGTTGCAGCTGAATGGTTGCAGTTTCGGCTTTCCGGATTAGCAATTTTCCGTCAATGCCTTTAGATGTGTTTGCAGTTCCCCAACAGTAGCCTTCCAAACCAAGAAACGGCTTCGCGGGTCCGCAATGGTGTGCTTCGCGTTCTTGCTCCCGCCGTCCTTTTTTGTCATTGCTGTCGCACCAACACTGAATACATCGCAAGCCAAATTAAAGTTGATTGTATCTCTATTAAATAAAAACAGTCTATTTATTGAATGAGAAAAGAAAAAGAGAAAAAGCACATACCTTCAGCGTGGCTTTCCAAAGATTTGAGCAGTTTTATTCCCTTACTTTCGCTTTTAAAAAGTGCGAAAAGTGGTTTGCGGAAGCTGGATCTCAAAGACGTTCTCAATCTAAAACAAGAAAAAAAATTGCTAGAAATTAATATAAAAATGCTCTACTAACAGTCAGAATTTTCATTTAGCCTGCGATTGCGTTTGCTGCTACTTCTGGAAAAAAAGAAGCAACAAAAGCAAATTTCGGTTACTGACGAAATGACGCAATAGAAATTTGGGGGTTATTTTGGCATATGCACTTGTGAATGCGGTTTGTCCGGTGCATAAATACAGATTTCTGGTAAATATATACATATGTACACATGTGTGTATTCTGTTGCATCATCTTTTTACTCTTATTAATGTTCTTACTTTGTTCTGCTACACTTCCAAAACTCTACATCTGGACTGCTGCTTCCAGTCAAATCTCTTTAAGTTTCAGCTGCGTTTTCCTCTGTTACAGATATGTAAATTCAATTAGTTATTAATATCCAAATTGCACAATTATATATGTATGTACTCACCAGAAAAACAGAGAAAGAATCGCCTCCCAAGTCCTTTAATAGCGTTTACATTTTTCACTTTTTCACAAACAAAAGGTTTCACAAACACGTCTTTCGCCGCCAAGCGCCCGAAAAATTATGACAAAGTCTAGACAATGCAACTCTTTCTACCCCCCACCCTTGCCACTGCAACGGACGAAAAGTAGCGAAGAAGAAGAAAAAGGGTGGACTTCTCTAAAGTCAAATGCGCTCAGCATCAAAATTCATAGAAAAAGGTCCGCCCTAATATACACACACATTCACTTGTTTTGACCTGTCAACCACACACACATACACACATGTATTACATATGTATCCATTAATTGCGTCTTAAAATTTCGTTTGACTCTTCCTTGTTTTTAGGGCAATTTCAGAACATTTTTTTTGCTATTTTGTTCAACGTTTTAGGGCGATTTCGCCCTAAAAAGAAGGAATTACTTTTGGAGTCGACTCATGAAAATTCGCCCTAAAAAACAGGGCAAATTGGCCTTTTTGGAAAAACTAACCCTAAAAAATATTTTCCATGGCGATTTTTCGTAACTTTAGGGCTAGCCACCCGTATAATAAGAAAATTTTTCGTAGTTTTAGGGCGACCTCGGTTTTAGGGCGACTTTTCTAGTATTTAGGTAAAAATTTCTATGAGTGTATATGAACAGACATACCAACAAACACAAACGCACACGCAAACATGCGGCAGCATCTGCATCTGTTTGCGTGTCTGTGTGTGCAATTTCCGTTTCCGCCTTATTCCACATGATTAGGCTGATGATACTTGGGTTTTCCGTTCTCCCCTTCCCCACCCCTCTCAGCATGAGATTTTCCTCTTGCGAAAAAAGGTGAAGGATTTCGTTCACCAACGTTACATCACGGAAAAAGTTATTTTTGCCAGAATTAATCAATGCAAGTGTTGGTTGTGGGAAGCAAAAATCAAAACTCAAAGTAATTTTCCAATTTCATAAATTCACATAGCATATTTTCATTCAGCCAACAAGTATTCAACAGGAAAATAACCTTGAACATGTGGTATTTGCATGCAACAATAAAAATGAAAGCAAAATAAAAAGTTCGGGGAGGAAAAAAATTGTTTTTTCTCTAATATTTGTTTTGCAACATTGTAATGCAGATTGCAATTAAAAATTTCTGTGTTGCTTTTTGCCTTGCTCATTTTGTTTTTCTGCGGAATTTATGTGGAAATGCAGATAAGCCTTTAAAACTTTAATAACAAAACAATTAAATAAATGTTTATAAATAGCGCAAGCTTTGCCCTATAAATAGAGAAATTTTAAATGTTATTTGAAAGAACACAAAATCCTATTTGAACCTCTCTAAATTCGAATTTCTCAGTAGTAAAACATCACAAACCATTTAATCTATTTTACCAGCTTTCACAATAAATTAAGTAGATCAAATAAACAGGCGTTTCCCAGAACAAACTAAATTCCTTTCAATGGAAAATCTTGTTATCATGACCAAGCAGTCATGTTTGAAAATTCCACGGAAAAAGGTTTTAATAAATGGGCTACTTCCTGACCACCTTGCAGATATGTGAACAGGCCATCCTGGCCGAAAGGAAATTATCTTTAAAGAAGATTAACAACAAGAAAATAAATGCAAACACCCCCGGGACTGAGACTGAAGCTATGGCCAGCACATCTGGGAATTTCCTCACGCCAAAGGTCCGGCGTTCATTTAAGCAAATTTGGCTTATTCGGAAGCACAGCTACCTAATAACCACGTTAAGGCGAAATCGCCTTGTAAGAGGGCGAAACGAGTTTGGAATTTTTAATTCCGCCTGCCGCATGTGGTGTTTTCCTCTTTTTTTGGGGAAACAGAGCTGCAGACTCCCGGAAAAGCGGCACGTGCTCCATAAAAAAAAGCAGCAGCGAGAAAAAGCGGTTGTCGGGGCAATGGGAAAACACGAAAAGCGAAAATATGTTTTCTGGCCAGCAGCCCACACACAAACACTTGGCTGACCAATAAGGGGGAAAGGCAATGGAACTCAGAAGGAAACTCAATTGCCCCAATTTTATTCATCCCATTTACCACCTGGCCACATGAGTTACTCGAAGAAACCACTCTTGATAAACCAAGTTGAAATATTAGCAATTATACAATTCTTACACTCGATTTAAGCTGGCAAATGATTTAAAAATAACAGTTTGGGAAAGCTGGAGAAAAACAATGTATAATTTATACTATTTAATTACAAAATTAAAAAAAATTAAATTTAATTCTCATCAGTTCAGTTCTTTTTTACAATTTTTTTATTCAACAAAAATATTTTTAAAGTGCATTTTGAGAAAAAATTATTTATTAAGGGTTATTTTTCGCGTGTTCACTTCAGCAATTAATCCTCTCCAGCAGCGTTCTTGTGACTCTTTCGACGCTGCACCCTGCTCTGGATGAATCCGCGGATCAGTTTGTGTTGATTCACCACTAGGTCGAACCACAGATTCATGTCCGACTCGAAGTTAAAGGCCGGCATGGCAGCCATATCGGAACGGAATCCGCGAACATAGTAGGGCACATCCTTGGGCCAAGGACATCGCTTAGGAATATTACTAAATCGATCCATATGCTTGCGTCCCAGCTGGATGAAGGCGATCTGATTTTTGTTCGACAGCAAGCTGCATCCATCGATTCCGGAGAGATTGAACAAAGTGAAATCGTCGCCCATACGTCGGGGTAAAACAATTCGCATATTCACAAAGAACTTAAGCACCGGCTTTTGGAATTGCAACTCGATGTTGAAGGAAGGCCGTTTTACACTCTTACTCAAACCACATTTCAGATTTGATAACATTTTCTCGGGATCCTCACTGAAGCAAGTGCAATTCGTAAATACCATGTCAAAGTTGGCCTGGAAAAATATAATTTAACATCTCACTTTCTGCATTTTATATCAAAAAATATCACCTTGGCGTTGGCTAAATTAACAGTAGCAACAATAAACACAATTATCACAGAGAACTTGCAATACATAATGTTGCACGAAACGCTCACGAATTCGAAATAAAATTATTATTATTTACCATGGTTAATTACAAGCTGCTCATTTGTACAAGCTGTAATCCATTTGACTAATTACTCTCATTTATAATAAGCTCTTTTTTTTCGACCAGAAGCGTTAATTGACAAAGAGATTACAGGTGATTACAGAGCAACGCCATTAATGATCCCATTAAACCATTAGTACTTTAAACTAAAATCAGCTTTACTTTATTAAGAATTTTGAGAGCTTATTGGAATCCAAAAATTATAATTAAACAATTATAAATTTATCTTTGTGTCTGGTTTTCGCCCGACTTAAATAATTAAGACACAAAGCCTCCTCCTTTGCATATATACATTTCCTGTTCATTGCTTGTTAACTCATTGTTTGTATTATTTAAATGAAACAAGCAAATGAGCTTGCACAGCTCAATAATCGCATCCAGTCGTCTGTATTTAAGTCTAGATTTACGACACTATCATAACAATGATGATTATTATTCCAGCATTAGTCACGCATCAGTAGATTATGGTTTCTAATTTTCAATTTAGCCAATGCATTTGGGCATTAACTCCAGTTGCGATGCATAATTGGAGTGGTTTTGTATGGGTCTTGCGGATGAGGGAGATGAAACCGAAGACTTTCGACATGTGGATAGTCATTTTGCTCTGCCTGCTTCCTAATTGGAAATTGGAGGCGGAGGCCAAGGTGCGTATGAGTGATGCACGGGCTGCAAATAATTTTTAATAAAGCATGCTTGGATTTCTCAGAATAATTTCGAGCTGCAAACGGATAATTTTACATGCAGCAGCGAGGATATGAATTCAAGGATTCTCAAGGAGTTCCGTTGCGGCATAAGTAAAAGTGCCAAACGTCGCACTTGGCATATGGAGTTTATGCTCAAGCAACCGGTTGGCGAACATGATTTCTTCATGAAAATCGTCCTGCCCCGCAGGAGTCCTCTGTCGGACTTTGTCCTGCTTAATGTGACCACCGATGGCTGTCAGTTGTTGGCCAATCGCAATCAAGTGCCCCTCATGCGTTTGGGCCGGAACATCATGGAGCGCTTCAGCAACTATCCCAAACAGTGTCCTTTCAAGGCTAATTTAACCTACTACATCAGAGGATTCCGTCTCGACTTAAATCTCCTGCCCGCCGTGGATATGGAAACCCCGGTTCACATTGAGCTCAGCTATCGGAGCAAAAATCAGGGACTCAGTTGGATCAGCGGCTATCTGGTGGCACGAGTTCAGCGGATGAGCGAGAAAAAACGCCCCAAGTAGCAAAAATGATGAGAAAAATCCTGGTTACCATGACAACTGTATGAACACTTTACTAGAAAAAGAAAAAAAAATTATTTCGTAATAATTTAAAATATATTTATCATTAAAATGGGATTTTTAATATTTAAATATATTAAAGCAGAATATCTTTGATTTTCGCCTAAACATCACACATCAACATAAAGTTTTCCTCTTTTTTTCAATTTAAATTTCTCAAATGGAAACCTAGCTATATTATCCTTAATAAAAGAACCTACTTCAAGGGCACAATTAATAAAAGTGCGTATGACAAATCTGCGACAGTGAGCATATGGCCACGGAGGTAATATTGCAGAAAATCATCCGCCCTCTCGCGCCACCTGTCGCCGTCTCTTTCTCATTCCCTTTTGCCATGACAGTTCAACCAGATGATGTTGCTCCTGTTGTTACAGTTGCCGTTGCTACCTTTCCATTCACGGCAATTCTTTCCATGTCATTCCACAAATGTTGTTCAATTACCTGCGCTCAGACAGAACCTGCCAGATGGAAATACACTGAGAGAAATAATTTTGAATTTTTTAACATTTAAAATAAAATAAATAATTACAGTTTGATACTAAAACACTTTATTATTTAAAAATATTAGATAATTGTTGTCTATCATTAAATGAAAAATATGAATAAAATATTATTAAAATTCAATCGTGTTATAAATACAGTTATGTAAAGGAAGATGGTAAATTTAATTCAAAAACTGATTTTATTTTTAAATACTGTTTTCTAAACGCAATATTTGTGCTTTTTTTTCTACCTGAATAAGTAGAGAAACATTGTGGCGGCAACTGGTTGAGTATGTTTGTATTTGAGTTTGTTCGACTGGCATTTGGCGCGACACAAGCTGAACCAGCTGCCACAATTTGGCATTTGACAGATGACGAGGCTGTGGGCAACTAATAACCCACCTTCCTCCTACGCCTCCCCTCCCCTCCGCCGCCCTCACCTGTCTGGGCAAAAAGCGAAATGAAGTGAGAAATGTGACAATGTCGTCAGTTGATGATTTGTTACAGTTACCTAGTGGAACACAAACAGTTGCCGGTAAATGAAACTGAATGGACTTCCGACGGGCCATGTGTTGCAGTTGCCTCAGGGAAGAGAGAACCACGCTATCAAGAATTGTCATCAGCAAAGAAAGCCTCTCTGGGAAAAATGACAAAGTTAGGAGCTAGGCATTAATCAAGATATGAATACCCTACAAAAGAGTCTGATAGCTCAAAATAATACATACATAACTTGACCACTTTTTGCCTAAAATAGTAATTTCTGATTATTTTAAAAGTACTATATTTTAGGTCGATTTTTAATCGAAAAACCATAAATCATAAAGATTTTTTCTTATTTTTGCTCCTTTCATAATTCATTCGCACGCTTAATTTTTCACCACTAAACTTTCACTCTCAACGGTTGTCACTTTCTCTCCATTTCTATTTTTCTTCGGTTCAGCTGGACTGCCTTTCAGGAATGAATTTTAATTAGATGTCAGGGATTTGCATGCATGTGTGGCGCATTACATTGGAGTTTACTAAAGTCGCCTGTCACTTGATTTGATGGCCAAGGGAAGCCACTGCCAACATTGATTCTGGCTAAAACCCCTCCCTAATGCTGGTGCGGTCCCAAACTAATTAAGGCCAACTGTTAATTGGCATCTGTCTTCGGGAAAGCCACTATTTCATTTTAGAAACTGTATTGTCACTACTTGGGTTCTTATTACATAACTTCGTTATACAAAATTAAATAAATATTGAAAATTGATTAAATAAAATAAAACATATGGCACAGAATTAATTAGACTCTAGAGTTCTGTAAAAGTGAAAAAATATTTGCCTATTTACTTAACCTTCTTAGGCTTAATGTGTTACAGTGAAATGAAACTAAAAGGAAAACTTTCATGCAAAGTTTTTAGTTTCTGGCTAAAAAGGAAAGGGCATAGCAGACTTACCTAGGGAAAACGGCCCCCAGCGATTTTTAAAAATTTTGAATCAGCGATGGTAGATAATTAGAAGGAGAATATGGAAACCAATTTTCAAAGCTATTGGACATTTGGCTGAGGAGTAATCGTCTGCAATCCAAAAATGTATTTCAGCTTATATTTGACCAACGGAAACGCTTAACTGAAAATTAGTGATGAGAAATCAAAGGGATAAGAAATAGGTCCTCGCTAAAAAAGCTTGGAATTTTTAAGACTTTTTAAAAGTGCAGAAAACCGCGATTAAAATTTTCAAAAAAATTTTTGACCACTTTCAAGTTTTGGCAACACCACCAATTTTTTACAGCTCCTGTGTCTTTTAACCATTGAATTAATAAAAAAAAATCATAATTTTATAGGTGGTGCAACAGTGTCAAAGAAAGGAAAAACTAGATTTCACGTAGTTTTGTGGGACTTTTTCTACAACCCGGCCACCCCAGTTTTTTTTAAGTTTTTGAAGTGCACAGTACCAACTTGATTGCAAAGCCCATTGCTTCCAATATTTATTCTCACACCTATTTTGGCACTATCATCACTCTTTTGCCGTATTTTGGCGTTAGAAAGAAAACACGAAATCAATTTTATCTTTCGAGCAGAAAGCACGATTTGCATAATTCAAAAGCAGAAATATCTGTCTTTTCATGGCCGATAACGAGATAAAAAAATAATGCTTAGATATCCATAGATGTTCAGACAATTTTTTAAGTCCAAAAGTAGGATTTCGGCCAATAGGTAAGTTTAAAAAATACCATTCTATCCCAATTCACTGGATTTAATGTGGGATCTCCGTTGAGGAATTCGCTATGAATTCTTTTCATTGACCTATTACTTTTTTCCAAAGCATATACAATTTTGTGTATTACATATTAAAAGCCTACTTTTTGACTTAAAAAATGGTATCGCTGGGTCATCAATGGTCTGAAAGCATTATTTTTTTATCTCGTTATCGGCCATGAAAAGACAGATATTTCTGCTTTTGAATTATGCAAATCGTGCTTTCTGCTCGAAAGATAAAATTGATTTCGTGTTTTCTTTCTAACGCCAAAATACGGCAAAAGAGTGATGATAGTGCCAAAATAGGTGTGAGAATAAATATTGGAAGCAATGGGCTTTGCAATCAAGTTGGTACTGTGCACTTCAAAAACTTAAAAAAAAAACTGGGGTGGCCGGGTTGTAGAAAAAGTCCCACAAAACTACTTGAAATCTAGTTTTTCCTTTCTTTGACACTGTTGCACCACCTATAAAATTATGATTTTTTTTTATTAATTCAATGGTTAAAAGACACAGGAGCTGTAAAAAATTGGTGGTGTTGCCAAAACTTGAAAGTGGTCAAAAAATTTTTTGAAAATTTTAATCGCGGTTTTCTGCACTTTTAAAAAGTCTTAAAAATTCCAAGCTTTTTTAGCGAGGACCTATTTCTTATCCCTTTGATTTCTCATCACTAATTTTCAGTTAAGCGTTTCCGTTGGTCAGATATAAGCTTAAATACATTTTTGGATTGCAGAGGATTACTCCTCAGCCAAATGTCCAATAGCTTTGAAAATTGGTTTCCATATTCTCCTTCTAATTATCTACCATCGCTGATTCAAAATTTTTAAAAATCGCTGGGGGCCGTTTTCCCTAGGTAAGTCTGCTATGCCCTTTCATGAATTAATACAAGTTACCTAGACTTTAAAAAAAATAATTAAAAAATAAAATAAGTTTAAAGGTAGTACAATAAAATAGGATAATATATTTCATATTATTATACCCTTGCAGAGGGTATTATGATTTCAGTCAGAAGTTTGCAACGCAGTGAAGGAGACGTTTCCGACCCCATAAAGTATATATATTCTTGATCAGCATCACTAGACGAGTCGATCTAGCCATGTCCGTCTGTCCGTCTGTCCGTCTGACCGTCTGTCCGTCTGTCCGTCTGTCCGTCTGTCCGTCTGTCTGTTTCTACGCAAACTAGTCTCTCAGTTTTTGAGCTATCGGGATGAAACTTTCCCAAAAGTCTTCTTTCTATTGCAGGTAGTATATATGTCGGAGCCGACCGGATCGGACAACTATATCTTATAGCTCCCATAGGAACAATCGGAAAAAAAAAACTTTTAAAAATTCTAACTTCGGTGTTTTTTGAAATATTACCTTCTACTTTTGGGGATGTTATTTTTTTAATATTTCTGAATTTCGAATTAATTATTTAAAAAATCGGACTACTATATCATATAGCTGCCATAGGAACGATCGGAAAATTAATGGAAAAGTAATAGGAAATAAATTCTAGCTTCTTTGGTTTTTGTTGTATTATCTTCTACTCTAGAATATGACTCTTTTTAAGTATTTCCGAATTTCAATTTTAATTTTATCGAAATCGGACGACTATATCATATAGCTGCCATAGGAACGATCGGAAAATTAATGGAAAAGTAATAGGAAATAAATTCTAGCTTCTTTGGTTTTTATTGTATTATCTTCTACTCTAGGATATGACTCTTTTTAAATATTTCCGAATTTCAATTTTAATTTAATCAAAATCGGACGACTATATCATATAGCTGCCATAGGAACGATCGGAAAATTTATGGAAAAGTAATAGGAAATAAATTCTAGCTTCTTTGGTTTTTATTGTATTATCTTCTACTCTAGGATATGACTCTTTTTAAATAATTCCGAATTTCAATTTTAATTTGATCAAAATCGGACGACTATATCATATAGCTGTCATAGGAACCATCGGAAAATTAATGATAAATATTAGAAAATTGAACATTTTTGCGATTTGTTAATTAATAGGAATGATCTGCAAGGGTATATAAGCTTCGGCTGGCCGAAGCTAGCTTCCTTTCTTGTTTTTCAGATAAAACTGACAGATTAAATTTCGACACCCTTTTCAACCCATTTCACTGTTCGCACAACCCCTCCCACTTTAATGGAACTGATAAGTTGCCAACAGATTAGAGCCATGAAATTTTAATCAGTTTCGTGCCCAAGTGGGCAAACAATTGAAAGTGAA